GAAGGGCGGGGGGCAATGGCATCACCAACAGTGGCCGTTGAATTAAAACTGTTCATCTTCAGCTTCTTCTTTTCACTCTCTAGGCACTCTCTTTCCGTTTCTGCTTCCTTTGCAAGCTGGTCTTCTTCCTCCCGCGCTGCGCGGGCTTGCTCTATCTCTGCTTCTTCTTGGGCTTCTTCCTCTCGTCTCTGGTTCCACTCTAAGACTCTGGTGTTGTGGCCTTCTGTCCAGGTTGCTATCAACCGGTTGACAACTTCTTGGGCCTGGGCACCGGTCGCTGCCATCAGGTCGTCGCGGATTCCGGCGTACAAGTCCCCAGCGAAGTCGGGGCAAACTTCGAGGGATGGGTCAGCCATGATAGTGGGAGAATAGGCTCTTTGCGTTAGGTGGTATTCGAGTGAGTGTAGTTATGAAAAACGTAGTGAAGAACGAAAAGAAAGCTAAGTCGACGAAGTGCACGATGAGGATAGTCGACGCAGCAGCAGAAGAAGAGGTGCGAACGTCACGCTTATTGTTCGCTCACAGACTTAACTCTATTTCCTCCGCTCGTGCCTCGCTACGTAATAGAGTGGCAACTTTTGCTTGCCACAGAACCCTCTTCCACTAAAGTGGAGTCGGGGACCATCCATCGAGCTTTCCATAGCAGCATAGATTGAAACATCCAACCGTCCATCCCAGCTTCGCGACAGCTGGATCGTTCCGCGACCTAATCACAACTTACAAGCTTTGATTCAAATTGTCGTATGTCGTCCCTCCAAATACCTATCGCCAAAGATTATTTCTAACCACACCCTCGACCCAACTACTTAGTACTTTCAATTGATTTCTTGCATCTCGCATATCACAACCTTCGTCAATGAGTGACGATCAATGTCAGTACTTCCATCTCTTATCTCTCGCATGCTCTCTGACCTTTTTGGCAGTTCTTCAAGGAACCTGGGCGAAGTTGTCCGAGGTTGCTGTCAAGGGTGCTCAATATAACTCCCGTGAACGTCTGCCCCACCCGAAATGTCTGCAAGGGACCAGGGTAGATCTCCTCAAATACATCCACGAATTCCTGGACGACACAGAGAATAATCAGCTTGTTTGGCTACATGGCACGGCAGGCGTCGGAAAGTCTGCTGTTGCGTTCACTGTAGCCGAGAGGATGAGAGGTCTGAAAGTGACAGAAGAGACGAACGTCGAAAAGCGGCTAGCGGGGACGTTCTTTTTCTCGCGCAAGCACACCAAACGCTGCACAGCTGGATATTTCTTTGCGACGCTTGTCTATCAGCTTGCCACCAATTTCCCCAGCATCCGAAAGGACGTGAACAGAACTATCCACGACAATCCCGCTCTACTAGACCCAGATACACCTATCTGCGACCAGATGGAGGCTCTCTTTCTCCGACCTCTCCGGAAACTCCAAACCAGATTGCATGGGTGTCGGCCTTTGTCGTTTGTCATCGATGCTCTTGATGAATGCACATCCGAACCCGAGCTTACTGAACTCATCCTTTCCCTTGCACGGGCTCTTCGTGAGCCTGATCTACCTGTGACCCACATTCTCCTCACAAGTCGCTCGGAATCGCATATTAGCAAAGTCTTTCAGAACGACGAGGTGCGCCCGTTGGTGCGCGAGATACCCGTGAGAACTTCTGGGGAGGCCCGTGGCATCATCTCGTTAGACGGCGCAGACGTTGACAACGACATCTGTACTTTCTTGCGGCATTCCTTCAAAGAGCTGGAATGTCGCCATCCCGATTTCCCGCAGCCATCAAAGGATGACCTTGCGAAGCTGGCGAGTCGAGCGGGCAGACGTTTCATCGTGGCGTCTACGATGATGAACTTTATTATCGACGATGAAGACAGTGATCCCTATGATCGGTTACAGCTGATGCTCAAGCTAACGAGCGAGCTGCTACCAGGAACGGAGGTGTACAAGTTATACGACCGTATCCTCTCCACGTGTGCCAACCCCAAGCGTGCTTACATGCACTTGTCTATTGTCGCCGCCCTCGCAGACCCTTTGCCACTTTCACAAATTTCGAAACTTCTTGGCCCTGGTTTGGGTAGGGATGTGGAGACAACGCTAGTGCAGCTACGATCTGTCTTGGATATTCCCATCGACCCCAGTCTCCCCGTGAACATCTATCACTCATCCGTTCGCGACTACGTTTCCTACCCCTCAAATTGCAGTTTCCCTGATGCACGCGATATGTCCACAGTCCACTCTCTACTCGCTGGCTCCGCTCTTCGCTTGATGATGAAAGAGATTCCAGAAAGCACGGCCCTCTTAGATGCACTCTCAGAACTAAAGAAGCAGAGCCAAGCTATGGAACCTGAGGACCCCCATAAATTAAAAGACTCACTAGCGTTCCTTCTTCAGCCACCGGAGCCACTGTCAGTTCTTATCGCCATGCTATGGCTTCGGGGAGATCGCGGATCGGATTTACTATCCTGGATAGAGACCCTGGACGGGCACGCCTGGCTGCAGACGCAAGGAGGGAAAGACTGGTTACAGAAAGAGGGCAGTGAAGGCTGGCTGCAGACGCAAGGAGGAAAAGACTGGCTGAAGACGCAAGGAGGAAAAGACTGGCTGACGACACAAGGAGGAAAAGACTGGCTGCAGACCACGGAAAGAAAAAACAAGTGCTCGGGCTCGGTATCATCTATTCAGGGGTCATATTGGTCCGTATGCTATGCGACCGTACCATATGAAAGTTCAGCGTTGCATTCTTCGTGGTCATTGGTCCCGTTGCGTCCCCAGCTGCCATCCAATATGATGGACCCGTTGTGTTCCCAGCTGCGAATCGATACGATAGTCCCGTTGCGTTCCCAGCTGTCAATCGAGATTATTAGAGAAGACGAGCTAGAGACCCTGGAAGGCTGTGTCTGGTTGCAGACCGAGGAAGGGCAAGACTGGCTAGAGACCCTGGACGGACGCATCTGGTTGCAGGCCCGCCGAGGGCAAGAGTGGCTGCAAATCTCGGGAGGGCAAAAGTGGTTACAGACCATAAGAGGGCGAGACTGGCTACAGATTAGGAGCGGGCGAGACTGGCTGCGGACACAAGGAGGGCGAGAATGGCTGCGGACACAAGGAGGGCGAGAATGGCTGCGGACTCCGCACGGACGAGCCTGGCTGGAGATCCCGGGTATGCGAGCCTGGCTGCAGACTCCAGGCGTGCGAGCCTGGCTGCAGACCCCGCGTGGGCGAGCCTGGCTACAAACCCCGCGCGGGCGAGCCTGGTTGCAAACCCCACCTGTACGAGACTGGCTGCAGAGCCCAGGTGGGAGAGCCTGGCTGCAGTCCCAGTGCGGGAATCACTGGCTGCATACAAAGGGAGGGAAAGACTGGCTAGAGACCCTGCTTGGGCAAGCCTGGCTGCAGACCCCGGGCGGGAAAGACAGGTGGCACAGACGAGACTTCCTGCACACCAATGGAGAGGAAGATTACCTGCAGACCCAGCATGGACGAGACTGGCTGCATACACAGGGAGGGAAAGAGTGGCTGCTGAACACTGGTATGCGTACTTGGCTGCAGACCCGGGGAGGGTTTGACTGGTTGCTGAACCCGGGCATGCTCACCTGGCTGCAGACCCAGGGAGGACTGGACTGGTTGCAGACCCAGCACGGGAAAGACTGGTTGCAGACCCGGCGCGGGAAAAACTGGCTGCAGACCCCGGGCGGGCAACACTGGCTGCAGACCACGCACGGGCAACACTGGCTGTGGACCCAACCTGGACGAGAGTGGTTGCAAACCAAAGGAGGGAAAGACTGGCTGCAGACCCAGCGCGGACGAGACTGGCTGCAGACCCAGCGCGGACGAGACTGGCTGCAGACCCAGCACGGGCAAGACTGGCTTGGGACACAGCCCGGGCAAGACTGGCTGCAGACCCAGCCTAAGCGAGACTGGCTGAAGACTCGGCACGGACCAGAATGGCTGCGGACCGAGCGCGGGAAAGACTGGCTGCAGACCCAGGATGGGCAAGACTGGCTGCAGATCCAGCGCGGACAAGACTGGCTGCAGGCCCAGCACGGGCAAGGCTGGCTGCAGACCAAGGGAGGGGAGGCCTGGTTGCATACTAAGGGAGGGGAAGACTGGCTGCAGACCCATCACGGACGAAACTGGCTGCATACAAAGAGAGGGAGACATTGGTTGCATACCAAAGGAGGGGAATATTGGCTACAAACTCAGCATGGACCAAACTGGCTGTGTACTGTGGATGGGGAAGACTGGCTGCAGACCCAGCACGGACGATACTGGCTGCAGACCCATGGAGGGTTAGACTGGCTACAGAGCCCAAGCATGAGCACATGGCTGCAGACCCAGGGAGGGCTGGACTGGTTACAGACCCTGCGCGGGCGAGACTGGTTGCAGACCCCGCGCGGGCGAGACTGGCTCCAAACACTACATGGACAAGCATGGCAATCCACTCCCGCAGCGTCTGTCTGGGTGAAGATGAGAGCATTCTCGAGTACACTGCAAGCTATGAGCGAGTATGTCATTGTTCCAGAAATGCTGTCACTACCAGCTTTCAAAGTAGTCCAGCAGTTCAAGGGCTTGCCGGATTTCTTGGTGTTTCCGATGTTCTTGGCATTATCGCACCAAGACTATTCCACCGCTACATTACCAGAAGAAAATTTCTCACCTGACTGCAGGGATATCATTCATGCTATGAATGACTTCACCACTTTTGCAAACGAAGCTCGGGAACAAAGTCGATCGTCTTCCGATGCTCTCAAGTACGCCTGTCAAAACTGGGCCGACCATCTCTTGCGAGCTCAGAATCCATGGGATGATAAACTCCATCATAAATTGCCAGACTTTCTGGAACCGTTATCTCCTCTCCTGGCTTGAAAGGCAGTGGTGTTTGAAGGGTCTGCAGTCTTGCCTCGTTGTTTTGTCTCAAGGGCAGAAGTTTGCAAAGGTGTGTCTATTCTCGTCTTCTCCTTAGCCAGACGTCCAAAAACTGATACTGCCCTGTATCAGGTTGACATCGTTAATTCTTAACTTGACGCTTACTATGCGCTGGTTCTCTTTCTGACCTGAAACAGACACTGCACACGATACGGACTTTTCATTATGTTCACACCGCGCGCACGGGTCTAATATTTTCTTACTTCGTAACTTAGTTCGTATCTGTCATACGAACATTGGGAATAGATTGTTTTGTCTAAACCGCTCGGTTCTGGTATTAGATTAGAACTTAAGCGATTATCTTCCTTCGTCCACAAACTTGAAGATATTACGGGGTACCATCCGTCAATAGATAGTGATTTACCCATCTTTGTGGCCCGACAAGGATCTTGCCAGTGTCTCGAGTGCATGCTATGGAAGAGAAGCTGGAAACCATGCTGTCCGACTACAACCGATAGCTATGGACGAGTGAATCCAAGGTAACGCCTGATGCGATTTGAAATTCGTTGGTCCCACTGCTAATCATCCTGCCATCCTTCTTCGAGAGCCGGCCCTGCGCACGGACAATATCTTGCATCCGTTGCTCTGCGTCACCGACATCATGCTGCGTTGTAGTTTTAGCAGGACGCGAGCCACGACCCTTGAATACGCTGGAGATTTTATTTTTTCCGGTCAGTAATCGTGTTTGGCGCCTCGCGCAGCACGAATGCTTTTGCCAGATGTCCATTATGAAGATGCCGAACATGGAATATATGCTTTTCGTTCGAAGGATGGGTCGCATATGCCCTCATGTAAGAAGTATATGCTCCTCGAGCAAAGTCAGCGTTCTGCAAAGACGACGTCAACACACTCGAATCCCTTTCCAAATCAAACTCACTTCTTTGCGCCACAAAAACCCACCGCTCAAAAGGAAGCTGCACTTCTGTCGCGCGCACCTCGTACTCTGAGCCTTTTCCACTTAAACCCTTCGCTAACACACTCTCGATGCTTTCCCCTTCAAGAGTGATGTTGACCTTGTCACCGTCGGACTTTTCTCTCATCGCATCGCCCCTCATCACCCATCTCACCCATTCATACTCCAAGCTTCACCACCATTGCCCGCACGTGCTGTCCGTCCCACCCTGTGCACGTACTCAGTTGCGCCGCCTTCAGTGGGCAGGTCGTGCTGTACGACTGCGCGAATGCGCGAACGAGGGGTAGGCCGAGACCTCGGGATGCCACGGACGTGCAAAGGAGAATAGAGGACGCAGAAGCAGGTGTTTTGGACTTCGAGGAAGGAATGGCGGAGAATCCCCGTAGAGAGGCGAGACGAATTGGTATATGAAGGGAGCCGTGAAGACGGAAGATTGAAGCGCCTGGAAGGAGCGAAGACTGCACAGCGATTTCACTTTCATCTTCATCTGCCTTGTCATCTTCGTCGTCGCTCTTGTCTTCGCCAGGCCCAGAACTTTCCGTCTTCTCGCCGTCCATAGACGAATCGCCTAGCAGGCGCCAGTGAAAATCGACCGAATCTATACAACTAAGGAATACGATGACTTTCGACCCTTTTTGTCCTTGTGTCCGAGCGAGCAATGAGCGAAGAAGTGGACAAGGACGCATTTTGAGAGGAACAATAACATATTTCTGAGAGAGTTGTGAGGGGGGAGTGAAGTTCTCGGTGCCGCTGGTAGCTGTCTCGTCACCATGTTTTGATGCTGACGAATCCTCCGCCTTCTCGTTGTCGAGTCCCTTGATTACTAGCGGTTGTATTAACATGGTGCCCGCGAGTTTCTGTACGTCTTCACGGATAGTAGCCGAACAAAGAATTGTCCATCTTTGCCAGTCCCAATCCCAACTCCTGACCTCGAAGGTCTTACCGTCCCGAACCGCTTGGAGCGAGGTTCCTCCTCCCATCCAGACCTTGCACAATCCCATTGATAGTGTCCTCAAATCCGAGTTCCATTAAGCGGTCCGCCTCATCCAGAACCAACCATCTACATTTTCCAGCGTCGAAAGAAGATGTGTTTTGCAAATGATCTAGTAGGCGACCTGGGGTGGAGACAATAATCGGAACACTAGAGAGGAGATTATCTGAGTCGGAGGCTTAGCTGGAAGTGCCGGACGGTCCGCTGCAGAAGCTACTTTGGTAGCAGACAAGGGTATGTCAGGTCACATTCGCTTTGCAGGACGAGAATGGGCATCATCATCGCCGCCAGGATGATGGTAAGTGCTTCGTTTGTGAACTCGTTTAGCCTTCAGCCTAGGCCATGACAGTGACTCGGTTAGCTGCATACATGACATCGTCCTTCTGCTCAGCTGTCCGTTCAGCGACCGAATTTTTTTGATGGGAGCTTTGTAGGTCCTGCAGATGCCATCCTCTGCAATGTTTAGGACAAATCCATCGTTCATTTCCCCTGCGGCGCTGATCAGTGATGAGTCAGTCATGTAAATTTCAGTCTCCAGGACTTGTAAGTATCAATAAATGCAATATAATTCAAGTATGTTATGGGTGCACCGTGCGGATGGCTGAAGTGGATGTGCCGCCAATCCTGGGACCGCTTGCGGTCGTCGGCCTATTGACAAGCGAACATCACGGTTTCGTCCTTTCGTCTAGGGCGGGATTCCTTTCCGAAAAAGGAATTTCTGGTCGATTCCTCCAGGTCACGTTTCGTTTTCAGTTCCCACAATTTGATAACCTTTCTCAAAGGTTTGAACACGTCTTCGTTCGCACCTTCACTACTTTGCTGCACAATGTTCGGTCGTGTTTCTCTTGCGCTCATTTTAATTTCTATAGCTGCAATTTTCTGTGCGCAGTCTGCGGATGCTGCCAAGGGCCCCAGAATCACCCACAAAGTCTACTTCGATATTAGGCATGGCGACAAGGACCTAGGCCGAGGTTTGTGTCATGTTAAGACCGTCCTGTGACATACATCTGACGAGGCTCGGATGTTAAACAGTTGTCATTGGTCTTTATGGTGGGGTACGTTGCTTTACTTATTCTGGCAGGTATACAGTTGACTAATACTCCTCGCAGACCGTTCCCAAGACAGTTGAGAACTTCCGCGCACTTGCAACTGGTGTCGGCAAGGATGGTAATGAGCTTGGCTACGGATACAAGGGCTCCAAGTTCCACCGCGTTATCAAGAACTTCATGTGAGTTACTTATCCGTTGTTTTGTGGACATTCGCCTGATGTTCTCTTTTCTCAGGATCCAAGGCGGTGACTTCAGTATGTGTACCATCATTACCTCGCATGCTCTGAGGCTAACTCGATATGATTTCACTAGCTCGTGGTGATGGCACCGGTGGAAAGGTAATTTAGGACCCGTCTTGGCATGAACGTTACTTATGTCTTTCAGTCCATTTACGGCGACCGCTTCAAGGATGAGAACTTGTAAGTGTTTCGTGATCATGCTCATGTCTTCAACCCTAACATCTACTTCAGCAAGCTCAAGCACACCGGACCCGGCACTCTTTCCATGGCTAATGCAGGCAAGGACACCAACGGTAAGCGGGTTTTTCTCACATCGATCATGACATCTAACATAGCGCTCTAGGATCTCAATTCGTAAGCCTGTAGTTGCTTTCCATGAGCTTTAATGAGTAGTTTTCCAGTTCATTTGCACTATTGTCACCAGCTGGTTGGACGGTAAACACGTGAGTTCGGTGTCACTTTTACGACCGCATTATCTGAGCTCTGTCAAACCAGGTTGTCTTCGGAAAAGTCCTGGAAGGAATGGACATTGTATATTCTATCGGTTCGCTTTATATTACCTCTACATCACCATAGGTTCTTACCTCCTATTCAGAGGACGTTCCTAAGGGCAGCAACGATCGTCCATTGGAGGACGTCACCATCTTCGACTCTGGAGAGGTTTGTTGTTCTATTTACTTGTGCTGTGTCTGGCGTATTCATCCCACGTTTCTAGCTGCCAGTTGAGCCGGTTGTGGATGAGGGAGGAAAAGAGGTACCCCTACACGCTGAGCTATGATTCAGCTGCCTCTGTGTCTCTTGAGCTCTTGATGCGAATAAAATATTTGTTGCTTGCCAACAGGACATCGCCACCGTACCCGTAAATTCTGTAACTTCGCCAGCCGATGCTGAATTGTCCGACTCTAACGAGGAGACGAGCACTGCGAAGTCAGCTCCCTCTTCAGTTGTGGATGCCACCCCTGAGGTTGTGGAGGGTGCTTCTGGGTCGTCGGAGGGTCTGAGATATGCAGCCATCTTATTTGTGGTGGTCGTAGTTGGAGTGGGGATGTTTGTCTGGCGTGGTGCCGGACTCCGTCGTTTCAAAGGCCTTTTGCAACGTGCAGATCGCGCGCATTACAAACGCGTCGGGGATGAGGATTTGGAGAAGTAAGTGCAATGGAGATTGAGGTTTCGAGCCGGTGGAGCATACCAAGTCATGAAACTTGTGCAATGTACCATAGATATATCTTGCTTGGCTAACATAACTAGTATGTCGTTCGTTCAAGAGTCCATTATAGGGGTAAAGCGGGTGTTCCTTCAAGTTTTTTACCAGGCTACCCTATTTAACATAGTGAATACCATGTACACTGATTATTTTGCACAACTTGAAGTATACTGTCAATTCTATGTGTGTTTCCGTGTGTTCACCGACAAGTTTTCTTCGTGAAATCCAGCTCCTACTACAAATATAGACAAGTGGACATATCAAGTTGAGGCAGTGACCCATTATAATCAGAATGAGGGAGGAAGAAGATTTTTGAGAGGGGGAAAATAGCACGAAACTTGAAGAGCACACGCACATCGACGGAAGTAACCGTGGAGACGACATGTTTCATGCCAGCCGTTTGCTTCCCACCAGCCGGTGTAGTGTGATAAAAAGGACATCCGATTCGCTGAAGACGCCTTCTAGCTTGGCAGGGGGTGCCCATCAAGAAAGCGATGTAATTAAATTAAGGTCAACGAATTTGCCCACGCTACCTCAGAGTACAGCCTACTACTGACAATCATCATCATCATATCTGCCAAGACCACATCTCAGATCTCAGCGCTCAGCACTAGTACTGTGGTACTTGATGCAGCAACAAAATGTGTACCTTCAAACGTGACTCGAGGACCTAGTGCGGAAGATCATCATTGAATGCAATCATGAGTAAGTGGTTGTATTCTTCAAAGACGGCCAACTCGACGACGTGCGGCGACGTTGCAGCGTCATAAGCATTTCTAACTTCAACCAGTGGGATTTGGTCGAACTCGCCCCTAGTGTTCGCAATCACTTCACTCCCAATTTGATCCTTGATAAGCCGTCCCATGCCAAAATCTTCCTCGCAGGAACATCTGGTGTCAATACTGACTGGGTCATCCGTAATCCTCTATCCGAGTCCATGGTCATTTTTATATGTTTCTGAAAGTTATCTGCTATCTGAGGTATAAGTGGTCGAGCTCTACGGTTGAACTTTCGGTGCTGATTTAAATGTTTAGCGTGTTAAGAGAGGAAGACGCCAAGTGCGACTTGGAAGCCCACCAGTATCTCAGAGTGTCGGCATATGGGTTACCGCCTTGTTGGCCTGTGCTTAGGTGGATTGTGGTCTATTCACACGTGCGCTTTGACACGCTGATTGACTAATTAATCTGTCTATACTAGTTTTTAGACGTGTGCACCTTGCTGTATTTCTACCAGTTACGACCCGGATGCTATGACTTTTTCACGAGATATGACGCCGACCTCGGGACTATGACATTGATCTCCATTGATCTCATGCTCTCTCAGACAGCTGCCGCAGATTCTGATTTCAAGTGGCGAGACCCTGGTGACAGATACTGCCGAGTTAGGCCAACCCTCATCAGTATACATGCCCTCACCCATACTATCGTCACTATTTGATATCTATCGGGAGAAAGAAGCAACAAGGCAACCTTTTCGTGTCGCCCGACTTCACACTGCCCTGAGGCTCAGGCTATGTTTCTCTGTCAAATCAGAGTAATACGTGCTGTGCCAGCCTGCATAAGCGATATCTGTCTCCTCTTTGGCGTGTTCGGACCCATTCCAGTTGCGTAACTGGTGCACAACTCTTTGATCACACCCAGAACCATCTCGTGATCATGATCCTGGTATCGACGCGGACTAAAAGATCCAAGCAAGAATACCAGACAGACGCCTCGCTGGCATTGGATGAGATCTTACTGGCGTTCGATGTATCATAAGTGAGAACATTGTACTTGCACTTGCTCTCGTTCTGACCGTCTACATCTTACATTACCGACACTACTCTACTGCGTTTCACATGGAATTTTCTTTCCCAGCTATTTGGGTGAACGTGATATTTGGCACTGAGGTTGCCCTTGATATTTTTTTCGATGCCAAGCCAAAGACTTTTGATCATATTGATTTATTCATCAGGCAAGGTTGCCGGCATGAATCGGTACACCCGATAGCGCACAGGACCTTCAAGAGAGATGGTAATTTTTTTTACATATACGGGCCCAGTTGATTGGGCCTTTGACGATTTGTTAAGAGGTACAGTTCGTTATCACGCGGACAAGCGCCAACATGCTCCAGAGCATACATCTTATGTGGCGTCATGGCGCCTAACGATTGCTTTGAAATTGGGGTCCTTGGGATACCTAGGCGAAGCGCGATGAGAATACCCTGAAAAAAAGAGACACCCGGTTGACTGTGGTGCGTGAATTGTAACCAGATGTATGTTCTAATTCCTTCCGAGGCGGGTCGGCAGTGCACAAGTATGAAGGGATTGAATCAAAGACATCTGACAGGCGTTTACGAAGAGAGGCGGCGATGATGGACAATGATGAGAGATGCAAGCTGTGGCAGCGTGGTGAATGTAAAGGCAAGAAACCATCAAGTTGAGGGGGGGCAGGGATGATGAAAAAAGTGACGTGGGATCAAGGGGCTATAGCAGCAAGGTATGTTTTTACGGAGCTAAAGAAGAAACCGTGGATAAGCGCCTGCATGAATAGGGTTATAAGGGCGAAAATCTGCGCTACTTACTACACACAAGATCCACAATGCAACAATATTCCGACGACGAAGACCCCTTACAGGAGCGACAACCCACAATGGGGTGAAGACCCTGCTGGAGAGGAAGATCCTTATGATAGCGAAGACGCTCATCAAGGGACGACACCTTACGGCGGGGGTGATAACCCTGATAGCGGGGATGAAGAATATTACGGCGGTGAAAGCCCTTATGGGAGTGATGACCCTGCTGGAGGGGAAGATCCCTATGATAGCGAAGTTGCTCACGAAGGTGAAGACACTTACGGTGGGGGTGAAGACCCTGACAGCGAGGGTGAAGACCCTGACAGCGGGGGCGAAAACCCTGACAGTGGGGATGAAGGCCTTTACAGCGGGGATGAAGACCCTGACAGCAGGAGCGATAACTCTGACAGCGGGGGCGAAAACCTTGACAGCGGGGGTGAGGACCTTTACAGTGGTGAAGACCCTGATGGCGGGGGCGAAAACCCTGACAGCGGTGATGAAGGCCTTTACAGCAGGGGTGAAGACCCTGACAGCAGAAGCGAAAACCCTGACAGCGGTGATGAAGGCCTTTACAGCGGGGATGAAGACCCTGATAGCAGGAGCGAAAACCGTGACAGTGGGGGTGAAGACCTTGACAGTGGGGGGCGAAAACCTTGACAGCGGGGGTGAAGACCTTTACAGCGGGGGTGAAGACTCTGACGGCGGGAGCGAAAGCCCTGACAGCGGGGGTGAAGACCTTTACAGTGGTGAAGACCCTTATGGGGGCGAAGGCCCTGAAGTTTCAGACACTGATAAAGACGAGGACAATGAAGACAATGACGAAGAAAACGAAGACGATGATGATGAAGACGATAAAGATGATGCCGAAAATGCTGACGAAGACGAAGTCATTGATGTCGACGTTGACAATGAAGATGAAAACGAAGGTGAAGACGAAGATGAAGACGACAAAGATGAAGTCGATGAAGTCGAAGATGAAGTCGACGAAGATGAAGGCGAAGACATTGAAGTTGATGATGACGATGAAGATGAAGTCGATGAAGTTGAAGTTGATGAAGACGAAGGCGAAGATGTTGAAGTTGACGATGACGATGAAGACGAAGACAATGAAGATGAAGGCAAAGGCGAACTTGAAGATGTTGACGTTGACGTTGAAGATGAAGATGCTGACGAAGTCGATGAAGCCTCAGAAGCCAACAGATCTTATGAAGCCTATGAAAGCCTTCAAGTTGGACGTCAACGAAGGCTCTGGCGGTGCTGGTGACTTTGGCAGTGACGATAACTCTAGAAACAACTCTCTGAGCTTCAGCTCCAGGTCTAACGGACAACCATCATATAATGTGAGCTCTTGCCTTCAATGTGTGTATTTATCATGCCACTTGAACTTCCCTCATACAGATATTCACGAACGTCATAAATGTGCATACTACTGAAGTGCATACCGAAGTGCATACTACTGAAGTCCTGCTGACGCAAGGGAACGATCGCGAAGATGGCAATAATGACGACCCCTATTACATACACCAAACACCAAACCGACAGCCCAACGAAGATGTCAACAACAACGATTCACACCCCAGACGCCAACCACCGAACCGCCCAGGACCCAATGATCTTCCTCTTGAACGTCAACTACCAAACAGCCTGCCGCCGAAGAAAGATGCCAATAATGATGATCCCCATCCACGCCAACCGCCAAACCCCCCACAGCCCAAGAAAGTTGCAATAACCATGATACCCATCCTGGGCCTCACCTAGGACCCGATGATCCTCCTCCTAGGCGTAAAATGCCTAGTGGCCCGCGGCCAAAGAAAGATGACAACAATAATATTGATCCCCGTCCACGCCACCCGCCAAACACCCCACAGCCCAAGAAAGTTGGCAATAACCGTGATGCCCATGCTGGGCCTCGCCCAGGGCCCAATGATCCTCCTCCTGGACATCAACTACCAAAACGCCCACGGCCCAAGAAAGATGGCAAAAATAATAATCCCCGTCTGCCATCAAAACCCCCACAGCCCAAGAAAGTCGGTAACAACCATGATGCCCATCCTGGGCCTCACCTAGGGCACAACGATCCTCTTCCTGAACATCAACTACCAAACTGCCCGTGGCCCAAGAAAGATGGCAAAGATAATAATCTCCGTCTGCCCCAAAACCCCCCACAGCCCAAGAAAAGTGGTAACAACCATGATGCCCATCCTGGGCCTCGCCTAGGACACGACGATTCTCCTCCTGGACATCAACTACTGAACCACCCACGGCCCAAGAAAGATGGCAAAGATAATAATCCCCGTCTGCCCCCAAACCCCCCACAGCCCAAGAAAGGTGGTAACAACCATGATGCCCATCCTGGGACTCACCTAGGACCCAACAATCCTCCTGGACATCAACTACCAAACCGCCCGCGGCCCAAGAAAGATGTCAATAATAATAATCCCCGTCCGCCCCAACCGCCAAACCCCCTACAGCCCCAGAAAGTTGGCAACAACCATGATCCCCATCCCGGGCCCGGGCCTAGCCTAGGACCCAACGATCCTCCTTCCGGACATCAACTACCAAACCGCCCACGGCCCAAGAAGGATGGCAACAATAATAATCCCCATCCGCCCCCACCGCCAATCCCCCGACAGCCCAAGAAAGTTGGTAGCAACCATGATCTCCGTCCCGGGCCTAAACCACTGAATCGCCCGCCGCCCAACTCTGAACATGGGAAAAAAAATCGAGACCCACACCAATGAGTTTTCATTCTGGCATCACTGCTACATGGAACGGACAGAAAAGTAGGGAATTCAGCTACAAGTTGACAGCACATCCTCACTGCTACCTCTGCAGGACATACAGTGATATCGCCAGATGGGCAACCTGACCACCCTAAAGATGGAGCATTGGATTGCGCTGATGATAGATATGGGGCCATCCGCGACAAAGCCAGCAAAGTCAACGGACAATCGTTATATGACATCAAGGTGAGCTTTTGCCTTCAACGTGTCTCCTTATCATGCAACGTGAGCTTCCTTGATACAGATCCAAGTCTTCCCGACCGTCTGGAATGCATCCGTTGCTGGCGACCTGCATACCGCTGAAGAGCTGCTGACCCAAGAGATCGACAAGATGGCAACAAAGATGGCAACAAAGATGGCACAAAGACGATTCCTATGCCATTCGCTCAGTGGTCAGAGCACGGAATCTCGAATGGGACAATGCGCTTCAAGACGCAGCCAAGGTCAGACCCTCTGCCTACCGTTACTAGTCTGTTCACGACAGATATGTTACACAGTCAATTGCCATCCAGCCCTCATTATGGGGGTATGTTTCCAAGGGCCTCGCCCTCTGCGGCAACGAGCAGCTCTGGGACGCGATGGAAGCTTTCGACCTCGCTATCACATTTTCGGATCGTAATCCGGTTACCATCGATCTTTTACTGTTGATCAAGGTACGCTCATTGTTGTGTTCATAGTCTGCCTGTCGCACTAAGGCTTCGATGTGATTTTGTCTAGGCTGTTGCAATTTTCAACGCCGGTCGCCATAATGAGGCATTACGGCGAGTTCAACGTCTTGCCATCGCTGACCAACACTCGGATGCACTTCGGTGCAACATGGTCGATGTGAGCTTTATGTTAGACCTGATGAATTTTCTTGTTCTGAAATATATTCCTCAGGCATATCTACGTGTGCAGCTTGCAATGATTACTTTCCAGAATGGGCTGTACAGCGAAGCCGCTGATGAACTCACAGCCAGTATTACCACTATAACGGACTTGTTCTCGCCCACCACACTTTTGGAACCTAAATGGAAGATATTCACGCTGGTATGTCCTTACAAAGCCATCGAGGACAGTTCGACTTATGGACGATATGCGCTGAATAGCTCTTTGGCTGGGACTTTGACTCTTTATGGCAAACTGTCAATCAACGACGATGCGACGCGTTCCTCCGTGCCAATAGAGTGACTGAAGCAGTCAAATCTTTTCAATATATGATGAGCATGATTGATGACAATACGAAGAACGGCTGCCTCGAATGGTCTTCCGGTGAGTGTGTTATTATATCGGACAACTTGAACATCAAGACCTCATTTTAATATCGATAAGCCTTCAAGCAAGACTGCACCGCACGATGTGTCGCAAAGGGGGATGAGGCCCTTGCCGCGAGTAACTACGAGATGGCTATTGAACTTTATTCGGCTGCAATCATGCTGGATTCCTCACACGACTCCTTTTTTACACGCCGCAGTTCAGCCTATTTGGCACGAAAACATTATGCGGAGGCCCTTGCTGACGCCGACACAGTGCGGACGACATCTATCATGTATTCTGTTACTTGTGCTAATTACACCAACACAGGTCATCAAACTCAGTCCTTCCTCTCATCGCGGGTCCGAACTGAAGGATGCAGCAAACCCGTGGTGTGCAACACTCGGATAAGAAAGCAAACAAGACATTTGAAAGCATGCTCTCCAAGTTGAAACTTACAGATGCTCCCGACCCCCAGATTGCAGGGCAAGTAACCCCTGCGTCACCATTCGGTCAACTAACTCTTTCTCCAGCGCTGCGTAAGCAGTATACTGAAGCAGAACACACTATTAAAGGGGCCATTGATGCTCATCTGGAAAAGGCTCCGCTTCGTCTACTCAACACGTCCACCGGGCGTTTATGCAATCAAGATGCACAGAGAAATGACTTCATGGAAGCAAAGAATACAGCGAGCTTTTGTATTCATTGATGACGCATATGCCTCTCCAAGTGAAACCCATCAAGAAGGCGGTCACGAAGTACTTCAGTTGGGTTATGTTGTCACATAGGTGGGATAAAGAGGAGCCGACACTGCACGACATCCAAGGCAAGGTCGTGTACGAGTTGAAGGGAGTTGCTAGCATGGAGAAACTCCAAATGTTCTGCAAAAAGGTTCAAGACCTGGGGTATCGTTGGGCATGGAGCGATACGTGCTGTATCGATCAGAAGAACACTGCCGAAGTCCAACGATCAGTCAACTCCATGTTCGTCTGGTATCACCACTCAGCTCTTACAATTGTCTACTTGTCGGATGCCTCGCCTCCGTGAAGTCAGGAGCACTGGAAAACAGTGTTTGGACCACACGAGGATGGACTGTTCAGGAGTTCCTAGCTCCTGACGTCATTCTCTTCTACCACAAAGATTGGGATTTATATCTCGATGACCGCTTCTCCCAACCACAAGAAGTCACCCTATATCATGACGGAGTTGGAGCGTTCAACAGGCATAAATGCACGCGCACTCGTCAACTTCAAGCCCGGGATGAGAGGTGCTCGAGAGAGACTTCAATGGGCGTCGCGCCGTGTCACCACGGTGCAAGAAGACATTGCATACTCGTTGTTTGGCATTTTCGGCGTCCAACTACCTGTTCTCTATGGCGAGATGAAGCAAAGCGCGATCGGTCGGCTCTTGCAGGAAATCGTCGCTCGGTCGGGCGACATTACTGCCCTGGACTGGGTTGGAAAACCATCCGAGTTCAATAGCTGTCTCCCAGCTGAAATCACCTCGTACACTACTTCCACCACACAAACGACCATCTATATCCGCAAAGGAGATGCAGAAATATGTCTCCAAGCTGCAAGAGACTGTGACTATGGAGTCAGCTTTGAAACTGTATACCCTTCTTGACAGCCTCAGTGCCCCCGCGTTTTGCGAACTCCAGACTGCATCTGCCTTGCATCACATTCACTATCACAGAAGTCAAACAGAAACGCGACGAAGGACCACGGGAACATCATTCATATATAGAGTCAAAGCAGACGGGCTTCAAGACCTATCGATAACCACAGAAGACAAGCTGGTTCAATTCTCGGCCACACGGCCCACTCCGCAGGCATTCTTGCTGGTCTGTCCGTGGAATCGTCATGATTTCGGGCTGCCCGACTTTGCAAACGGTGCGCAGAGCGTGAAAGAACAGGAGCAGGATGATCTGGACTCCCGTTCGCGAGCCTTGAAGTTGATTGCTCGCCTTGGACAGCCTTTCAAACGCACTTTTGCTTGCGCAGCAGCGTGGTTCGGAGTACAAGAGAATCGCGTCGGATCACAGTATCAGCGCAAAAGTCAAGAGCACGACTGCTGTTCATGACATGATGGCTGTCAAGATGCTAGAAATATTGTAGTTGTGGAAGAACGGGGAACTCTGAATCGGTTTCATCCATGCTAAATTTGTATATTTCTGTTTTTTTATATCGAAACAATTACCCCTATGGACCTGGACATTTGTATTATATCGTATGCTGAAATTCAACAGGTGCCTGGCATCCAACCAGTACTAGTACGGACTGCATGATCGAATTGTCCAGCTTTGTCTCGTGTTTTGGCTTCCGTGTGGTGCGACTAGTACTACCTAGAGTGTCAGCTCTAGGTGGAATATGGGCCTGGGTTAATGCCTGGGGGTGTCGGTGATAGTCATCGTGAATGCTGAGCACTGATTGTTCTACTCCATTCTGGTGTGTTCCCCTGAAACGCGTCCGACTGCTGCGCGCGTCATAATGAGCACGTGCATCTTTTGGGTCCCTTAAGTCCAAAGTACTTACGCGTGCCTGCTGTCAGTGCATACCTGCAATTATAAGTCAATGCCACGTTCACTGTGCATGATCTTTTAAACCTCTTCACCCTGCTAGAGCCAGATTTTGCATCGTTCCACGAAATGTCAGTTGATGGGCGTTATCTAGCATTGGAGGAATAACAGCGATCCTCCTTTTCGGAACGCTCTACTCCGTCGCATACGATACTTATCTGGGACACCTCCAATCCAGTCCTCACACAACTCCCTCACCATCTACATGCAACACACTACTTCACAAACAAAGCCAATGTCCTAAACTTACATTTCATCAAATGCGCATGGGGCTGGACTTCCGCTGCCTTCCTTACTCTCTGGCTCACCAGCCCACCGCACAAGCGGACAGTGCGTAGAGTAGTCAAGTGGGGAGTAGAAACAACCGTATGGCTCGTGTTCATAGGGTGGTTCTTTTGCCCTGCCCTCCTCGAAAGGCTCACAGCAGCTTCAGGGGGCAAGTGCAACGGTCACCCCCAGCGTGTGCAGAGTGACCTAAGTCCAAGATTCCAGGTCAAAGGTCGGTGCTGTGTTCTAGATCGACACATGATGTACCTTCCATTCTTCGACGTACCAGGTCGAAATTTAATTTTTTAGCGCTTGCCGACTCCACAGTAGCTGGTGCAGGCATATTGTTGGGTGGCAGCGTGGGTGCGGGCAGTGGGGGCGGGCGCGTCGAACGGAGTCACCACAGGATTGGGGACATTGGATTCGCGTTTTTGCTCAGCAAGCTTCGCACTGCATGTACCTGAGTCAGTTTGGAGTCAGTGCCAGATTGAACAAGGTTTTTGAAGACTTACAGAGGGTTCTTAATTATGGGGAAGGAGGCCTACAATACTATCAATATGTGTGAACATAATTCAAGCACGAGTTGGCGAGCTACCCGCGGTCGCTGGAAACCCGCGCCGAGGCGGGAAACATTGAAAGAACAGGACAAGGAATAAACTGGCAGACAAGATAATATGGTGACGATGATGGTGGTAGCAGTAAGAGAGAGGTTACCTTGAGTAATACGCGGGGAAAGGCATATCAGTGTGGCGTCATGTGAATAAATTGTGTCATGCCGCTACAATGAATATGACAAGCAAGGTTTCGAAATTTCAGCCGACACGGCAGGCGGCATTTCACGAGTTAAACTAAGGTCAACGAATTTCCCCACGCTACCTGTCTACTGACGATCATCATGATATCTGCCAAGACCACATCTCAGCACTAGTACTGTGGTGTTTGATGGCAGCAAAAAATGTGTACATTCAAACTGTGACTCGAGGACAATATTGAGTTCAATCATGAGTGAGTGGTTGTATTCTTCAAAGACGGCCAACTCGACAACGTGCGGCGGCTTGCTGCGTCATAAGTAGATCTGACCTCAACCAGTGGGATTTGGAACTCGCCCCCAGTGTTCGCAATCACCTCACATGTCAATTCCTCCCAATTCGATCCTTGATAAGCCGTCCTATTCCAAAATCTTCCTCGGCAGGAACAACTAGTATTCATGGTGGTGTCAATCTGGGTCATTCGTAATCCTCTATCCGAGTCCATGGTCATTTTTATATGTTATCTGCTATCTGAGGTACAAGTGGTCGAGCTCTACGGTTGAACCTTCGGTGCTGACTCAAATGTTCAGCGTGTTAAGAGAGGAAGACACCAAGTGCGACTCGGAAGCCCATCAGCATCTCAGAGTGTCGGCATATGGGTCACTGCCTTGTTGGCCTGTGCTTAGGTAGATTGTGATCTATTCATACGTGCGCTTTGACACGTTGCTTGACTAAGTTAATCCGTCCGTGCTAGTTTTTAGACGTGCGCACCTTACTAGTATTTCTGCCAGTCACGACCAGGATGCTATGACTATTTTCACGAGATATGATGCCAACCTCGTGACTATGACATTTATCTTCATGGATCCCATGCTCTCTCAGACAGCTGCCGCAGATTCTGAATTCAGTGGCGAGAGCCTGGTGACAGATGCTACCGAGTTAGGTCACCCAACCCTCACCAGTATACATGCCCTCACCCAGGAGAAAGAAGCAACAAGGCAACCCACTACCCTGAGCATAGACTAGCTGCTCAGGCTATGTTTCTCCGTCAATTCAGAGTAATACGAGCTGTGCCAGCCTGCATATGCGACATATGTCTCCTCTTTGCGTGATCGGACCCATTCCAGTTGCGTAACTGGCGCACAACCCCTTTATCACACCCAGAGCCATCTCATGATCACGATCCTGGCGAAAATCGGTATCGACGCAGACTAAAAAAATTCAAGCAAGAATACCAAACAGACGCCCCGCTGGCAGTAGATGAGATCTTTTTGGCGTTCGATATATCACAAGTGAGAACATTGTACTCGCACTTGCTCTCGTTCTGATCGTCTTACATTACCGACACTGCATTTCACATGAAATTCTCTTTCCCAGCTATTTGGGTGACGTGATATTTTGGCACTGAGGTTGCCCTTGATATTTTTTTCGATGCCAAACCAAAGACGCTTGATCATATTGATTCATTCACCAAGCAGATGTTTGCTGGCATGAATCGGTACACCTGATAGCGCACAGGACATTCAAGAGAGATGGCAAATTCTTTACATATACAGGCACAGTTGATTGGGTCTTTGACGATTTGTTTAGGAGATCGGCGGTTCATTATCATGTGGACAAGCGACCCGGGGCAAATCAGCAACATGCTCCAGAGCATACATATGATGTGGCGTCACGACGCCTGACGATTGTTTTGGGGTCCTTGGGATGCCGTGGCGAAGCGCGATAAATATACGCTGAACAAAAGGAATTTTAGAGGGGGGCGGGGATGATGAAAAAAGTGACATGGGATTAAGGGACCATAGCAGCAAGGTACGTTTTACGGAGCCCCGTGGATAAGCGCCTGCATGAGTAGGGATATAAGAAGAAAGTCTACGCTACTCACTACACACAAGATCCACAATGCCACAATATTCCAGCGACGAAGACTCTTACGAGAGCGACGACCCGCCATGGCGTAAATACCCTGCTAGAGAGGAAGATCATTATGATTACGAAGACGATGAAGACGAAGATCATAAAGACAATGACGATGAAGACGACGATGTCGATGTCGATGTCGAAGACGAAGAAGCTGACGAAGTCGATGAAGTCGATAAAGCCTTGTACGTTAACCAATCTGGCGGCGATGATGACTTTGGCAGTGACGATGACTCTAGAAATAACTTTAGGCTCAGCTCCAGGTCTAATGGACAACCGTCATATACTCAGAATGTGAGTTCTTGCCTTCAATGTGTGTACTTATCACGCCAGTTGAGCTTCCTTCATATAGATAATCATGAACAACATAAACGTGCATGCTCCTGGAGTGCGTCCTACTGGAGCCCTGCTGACGCGAGGGAACGATCGCGTGGTTCGGAGTACAAGAGAATCGCATCAGATGACAGTATCTGGGAACGATCGCAGGGTTCGCGGGTACAATAGAATCGCATCGGATGACAGTATCAGGGAACGATCGCAGGGTTCGGGGTACAATAGAATCGCATCGGATCACAGTATCAGCGCAAGGGAACGATCGCAGGATTTTCGGGTCACATCAGAATCGAGTCAGATCACATTATCATCACAAAGGTCAAGAGCACGACTGCTGTGATGGGCGTCAAAATGCTAGAAATATTGTAGTCACATTGTTGTGGAAGAACGGGGAATTCTGCAGAGTGGGTTGCATTCATGCTAAATTTGTATGTTTTTTGTCTGTTTTATTTTTTTCTTCTTTGTTTATATTGAAACAATTATCCCTATGGGCTTGGACTGTATTATATCGTATGCTGAAATTCAACAGGTGCCAAGCAATCAACTAGTACTAGTATGACTACATGATCGAATTGTCCAGCTTCGTCTCGTGCTCTGGTTTCCGTGTAGTGCGACTGCCTAGAGTGTCAGCTCTAGGAGGAACGTGAGCCCGGGTAAGTTAGTGCCTGGGTGTGTCGGTGATAGTCATCGTGAATGCTGAGCACTAATTGTTCTACTCCGTTCTGGTGTGTTCCCCTGAAACGCGTCCGACTGCTGCGCGCGTCATGATGAGCACGTGCATTATTTTCTTTCGGGTCCCTTGAGCCGAAGTACTTACGCGTGCCTGCTGTCAGTGCATACCTGCAGTTATAAGTTAATGCCACGTTCACTGTGCACGATCTTTTAAACCTCTTCACCCTGCTAGAGCCAGATTTTGTATCATTCCACGAAATGTCAGTTGATGTGCGTTATCTAGCATTCGGAGGAATAACAGCGATCCTCCTTTTCGGAACGCTCTACTCCGTCGCATACGATACTTATCTGGACACCTCCAATCCAGTTCTCACACAACTCCCTCACCATCTACATGCAACGCACTACTTTGCAAATAAAGCCAACTTCCTAAACTTATATTTCATCAAACGCGCATGGGGCTGGACTTCTGCCGCCTTCCTCACCCTCTGGCTCACCAGCCCACCGCACAAGCGGACAGTGCATAGAGTAGTCAAGTGGGGAGTAGAAACAACCGTATGGCTCGTGTTCACAGGCTGGTTCTTCGGACCTGCCCTCCTCGAAAGGCTCACAGCAGCTTCGGGGGGCGAGTGCACGGTCACCCTCCAGTCCGGCACCGTGTTCACCGTCCCGTATGAATACTGTTTCACGCGGACGGCCATATCACGAGAAACGCATCCGTCCTTGTTTGTTGGATCGTTTGCCGAGTCGTCGTTGGGGATGCTGGATGATAGGTTGCAGGTGCTCCCACGCCTAAGGAAGGGACATGACGTTTCGGGCCACGTCTTCCTCCTTACTATGTCCGCTCTCTTCTTGGTGGACCAGATCAGAGTCTCTCTGCGCGCCAGGACATGGTCGCTTGCGCATGCTTGTGCAGTCGCGTTCAATATCGTACTCGTCGCGATCTGGTTGTTCGCAATCTTCACTACCGGCGTGTACTTCCATTCGCCATTTGAAAAGTTCACTGGATATTGTACGTCCTGTTCGTTTTAGGATCGATAGCTGGCTTACTTCGTTTACAGTGTTGGGAGTCGCAGGTTACATTGTGACTTTGTTGTATTAGTATACTAGCGGGATGCTATTAGCACTATGGATGACATCGCTACTCAGTCCGCTCAATTGTAGTATACCGTAATGTGTAATGTCGACGTGATATGTCAAAGCGTGCGCACCAAGTACTGCGATGCAGCGTACACTACACAATTCATTATACGGTGTGAGATCCATGTAAGTAGATAGTCAGCTAACGTCAATCGCAAACACCACCGTCTCAAAAGAACAGCCAGCCAATCAAAACCCACGTAACAACAGAAGGCAGCGCAACGCTCACGCTGTCACGCCCCAACCTCCACAACATCCCTCTCCGCTTGCCTCTGCTCATACTGTCGCCGTTGTCAGATGTACAAAACTTCTTCATCGCCTCCCATGTCGGCAGCGTAATCGTTATCCGCCGCCGCCTCCCTCCGAACACGAAGCTCCAGCTCCATGACGGCCATTTCCTTTCCGATCGACGTGCGCTCGGTGAGGGAAGGAACGATGGTGTTTCGTGAACGTCCTCTCCTGAAGGCCAGACATGGTCGCTGTGATGCTGCGAAGGATAATGTGCGGGGATGCATCTCATCCTCGTGCCCGGCATGGAAAAGCGGAATAGGACTCAGGAGCGGAGAGTCATGCGGTGATCCAGGGGCTGACGACAAGGCACGAAATGTGAAAATTTCCTTTCCGCTGGGGACACGTACTGGGAGTGCCGCTGCCGGACTTGTCGGACCGCTTGACCTCCGCGGGGACCAGTTTGTCCAGATTGCAGATTCTGGCCCGGACAGCGGGGAACTCGGTCTGCTCCTGGTTGCAGAGATAGGTGAGAGAGTGGAGAAACGGCGACGATGTCGGTCGGGTGAGATATCGAGGTATAGGAGCACGATGGCGGTTAGTACGAGAGCGGGGAGGTATATTGAATTGAAGATGCGGAAGGTATCGGGAAGAAGGCAAGCAGCATCTGCGAACGTAGAGCCATGGGGTGATACAGCAGAGTCCGGAGGGATGAGAGAGAGGAGCTGGAAGCCTGGACGTCGGATGTGCCTAGGATGGGGAAAATGATTTTACGGTCACTTCTCGGACGGAGGTCTTTGCTAGTACATTGACATCTGTTGCGGGGAGGTGGTGGGTCATGTTGCAGTAATCTCGATTATCACCGCTGTGTAGGGGTGTGTAATTTAAACACGGGAATGGGCGGCTGATGTATCTTTATTACACGTACCTGAAGACCGCTGCTGGACGTAGCATATGCAGAACAAATCTAGTGGTTTCTTTACCGAGCATGTTTTGATACCCATAGCCTGCACTAGCTCGTATAGAGCCTTTTTCACGAAGTGGCCCGCATGATGTACTTGCTGGTCGGGACAGTGGGATATGGCTGAACAAGATGATGGGACTAGATGATGCTAATAATTCCGACATCAGCAAAACACACCCAGAAATTGTAAAACAGCGCCCACCCTTGATGGTAACGGAGGCGATGAACTCGATTGGACCACCCACAGCAGGTGTCCAAGTCTCATACTGCTTGCCCATCCCATGTCGGCGGTAATCCTCGTCAACTAATCCAGGGGCGTCGATGAAAATCAGCCTATGGCCGGCCAGATCGATTTCCTGATTCACAGGTCCAAAGTACTCGGTAAAGTACTTTCGCGCATTCTTTGAGAAAGCAGAAGATTCTCCAAGACTGGCAGGACCACTAAGTTTCCCAATGACCACATCAAAAGTCGAGCACGTACCCAACATCTCTATTCCCTGGAACGAAATAGTTCGGCACGGATTTATCGGTGGCGAACATCCCCTTAAATTCATCTACGTAGTTTTCGTATCTATCAGGAATGTTTAGCGCACGTAACCAAGTGGTTGCAATAGTGACACGTACTCGTCTTCACTCGTAACGTAGCGTCCAGAGGCAAGCACGTCGCCTAGCCATACAACTGCGTGAGGATGCAAGCGAGTTACGACGCTCCAGCCTTTGCGTAAGTATCTAGTAGAGGATGCATCATAGCCGAGCCACGAAATCCCTAAACGCCTGGGATTCGGGAGTTGGGGGTCAGAAATCAAGAGGACTCGGGTTGGTTTTTCGGTTGATCCAGCCTTGACGGCATGTCATTACGAGGATAGTACAATTCAGTTAGACGAGCTCACCTCCTTCAACTCCCTATCTGGCCACTTGCAGTTTGATAAACTGTAAAAAAAGACGCCAAATTCGCACCAAATGACGAGAACGACCCAGAAGAAACGAAGGAGGTTGATAATGGTGTTTCGCGAAAGAAGACGTGGATTCCTCGTGCGCCTTTCATGGATAAAGCTCATTCCGCATCACTTGCAGCTGAGGAATTAGCAAGTGGAGTTAGGGCAAAACCTAGATTTGGTTTTGGGAGAGATTAAAGAGAGACGTTTTTACTAGAAGGGTTCGCTTGATTGAGATGGACGTAAATAGCACTCAACATCATGATCTGCTGTGCACCGGTGAATATTATAGGCTGGTCCAAACTATATACAACCACATAAGAATATAAACATCTCACTCCCAATCACTCTCTTCCTCTTCTTCATTCTTCTGTACATGTTCCTGTGCATCTCCTGCAGCACTGACGTTACCAGAAATAACATCATAACTGTCCTCGCTGTCCCTAGGACTCATAGTCATAGGAGTATTGAATTGCGAAGAATTTGGGAGCGATAGGACGTCGCTCGCGTCTACTGCTTTCGGCGCCAGCGTACGTTGTGATACCATTGACGACTCGAGCGCTCCGAGGGATTTAGATTCAGGGGCCCCGGATTCCTCGTCGTCATCTTCCCAGCTGAAATCTTCTTCAGTCTGGTTTGCTCCTGTGAAGGTATCAATCAACAAATGCTACGGTGTAAAAGACGAAAAGTCATGTACCGTGGATAAGAGCCTTGCGTCTCATTTCTTCTTGTTCGATCTGATACACGCGGAAGAAGTATCGTGTCCAGAATTCGTCGTCAGAAAGAATCGAAGGCACTGAGGCAGTGATAAGCATCGACAATGAGGATCATAGTAGTCAACGTACCTAGTGCATCGAACGTCTCCTGCAGCGTTTGGCCATCATCTGGATCAGACAGCGTCTTTGCGATGCGTTCTGACCAGAATTTAGTACCAAGGTGTTCATCCTTGCCCTGCGCCTCAGACACCCAAGCATGGAACGTCTCCTTCGCCGCATCAGCCTCAGGATCAAGCTTGATAATCTCGGGATTACTCTTCAGCTGCTGCAACAGCACTTGCGCACGCGTCGCGACAGCCTGACGAGCATCTTCGCCCTGCCGCCCTGACGAAACGCCCAAATCCGTCTCCTTGCCTTTCCCTTTCACATCCCCTCCTTCCACCGGTAGCATCCATACGTCACTTCCATCCCAAAACAAACCCTGATTTGAATATCCACCGCTCTCCTCTGGTGGAATTACTTTCACCGCATCTCGCAGGGCTTCACTAGCTTCCTTCATAGCTTCCCGCAGCAGATGTTCGCTCTTGTGGACATATTCCTCCGCCTGCGTACGCGTCACCCCCCTGGACGCGCTGAAATTCGGTAGTTAGCGTCGTCCGCAGCTGCGACAGATCGATGTTCTGCGGGTGTTTAAGGCTTTCAGGAAGCTGAGCCTGGACAGTCGAGACAATATTAGGGCGGAAGCGAAGATTGGAGGCGCGCGAAGAATGATTGTGAAGTTGAAAGTGACCCTGCTCGCGTGTGCGATTCTGCGGTAGGCGTCTCAGGAGCTGTAGCACACTCGCTCTCGCTTTCCTTGTCCTCGGCCTCAGCCTCAGTCAACGTGGGTATCGGTAGGGGTTTCAGTTGATATAGGTGAGTTTGCCAAGCTCCTTCTGTGCTTGTGTAACCACCTCGCCGAAATCCTTGCGCGCAGTCGCGAGCGCAGTTTCACTCTATTAGATCTTTGGCGTGAGTTTCAATTATCGCAATCATAGAGCGTATGTGAACGTGCCTGCTTCCTGAACCCTCCCCAGAACTTTCCGAGCTGGCCGATGACCTGAGGAAACCTCTTCATTGAGGCTCTGTTCTGGCTGAGCATTCACGGGCGGCGTGTTTGCACCCATCCCAGTCAGTCCATAAGTGTCAAGGAAATTCATGGTCGATGATTAATGATTATCGATTTACCCAGGAAGGTTGCCATGCAATGTAGGGCAGAAGCTTCAAGCACCGGGATCCATAAACACCCAATTAGGCAAATTTCCAAGCACAACTACAAATGTAACGATAACGATTCTGGGAAAAGCTTTTGGAGACAAATACAAAAAAGACTGCCAACCACCGGAAGAAACAAGTATCGTACACCAATCGTACACATATAGTCAGGTATGTAATGAGAACGGTAGAACAAGGTGATCAATCAAGCAGTAACTCGGATACGGGCAGGCTGTTCCAACATGAAACTGGCAGGATCGATAGTAGTACCCACAGGCGTCTTGACATTCTCTGCTTTGTAAATACGACATTCAGCGAGGAAGTCGGTGAACATCTGCAGATCAAATTAGCAACTGCTGAGCTAGGCGACTAATAATAACTGACCTCAATTGTGTCGAGGGGGCCGCCGGCACTCTCGGGATGGAACTGAACACCCCACACTCTTTTTCCAGACTCGGGGGTGGACTTGATGCCCTCCACGGAAGAGTCGTTACAGTTGATGAAGAATGGTTCCCAGCCTTGTGGGAAGGGGTCGGTCAGCTTAAGAGCATATTGATGATTTTGACTGATGACGCCATTTAGCATCATCCATGACTCATAGTGACTGAGGAATGCAAACCTGGTAACATAAACCCTTCCAGCTTTGATGGAACCTGAAGATGCGAGGGCGAGAACAGGCTGGTTGTGCCCGCGGTTGCCGAACGTCATGCGGTATGCCTCAAGGCCGGCAGCCATACCAATAATCTGATGCCCCATACAGATTCCAAACACTGGCTTGTTCCACTCCTGAAGTGTCTTGCGAAGTATCGAAACGGCTTCCATACATTGACCCGGGTTTCCGGGGCCATTGGTCAGGAATAGACCATCAAACTTGTCGCGAATGGAGTTAAAATCGTAGTTCCATGGCAGTACTGTAACTGCAGCGTTCCGGCGAACGAGAGAACGTAGGATATTGGCCTTGGCACCGAAATCAAGAACTGCGATCTTGATATCTCCAGTAGGGTTAAGCTGGTAGGGATACTTTGTCGACACCTGGTCGACAAGGTTCTCAATGGAGGGGTCCCAATATTGCTCGGAGGCAGGTGCCGGAGCGGAAGCATCAGCACCAATAGCAAGGCGACCGAGAGTAGTTCCTTGGTCACGAAGGAGGCGCGTAATTGCACGTGTGTCTACGCCCGTGATGGCGGGAATGTCTGAGCGGCGACACCATGATGCCAGTGATTCCACTGCGGAATGATGAGAAAATTTTCTCTGCGACATCAGCTACTACAATAGCGCTGCATTGGATACCCTGGGACTCTAGGACCACACCAACATCCTGGGAATCAATTGGTGCGTTGTTAGATGGAATACCGTAGTTGCCAATGAGAGGTGTGGTGAATACGAGAATCTGACCACGGTAAGAAGGGTCAGTCATGGACTCAGTGTCTAAAGAATGAGATGATGAGAAGGCTGCGCAATAGATGATTAATATTTCGACATACAAGAAGTGATAGACGTCGAGAAGACAGTCTCGCCGAAGACGCTCTTGGGAGAGCCGAACGAACGGCCATGGAAGGACTGGCCTGTTTTAAGATGTAAGGCTGCTGGCAACGCTGAGAGGGGGCCTGTGTGTGTTGCAAAACCCCGGGAGAGAATCGTTGGTAGACGAATGATGGATCGAGCAAACATGATTTATTGATCAGAATCCAATGAGGGAGAATACGAGATCGCCGAGATAGCTAAAGATCGAAATCGTCAGCAATGATTGAGCTTAAAAGTGATAGACTTACTCGTCGCGTGTGTTCTGTGTGAAGATCATAGACGAGCTTGAAAGCTCAAAAAGAGAATTTGCAGCTGGAGATTGCTGGCTGTCAGAGGGAACTATAGAAAAAAAAAAACGATATAGCGGAAATACAACGGTGTTTATATAGTCACCTGGCTAATCGTTGTCATTGTTTGCCTCAAAACGCGTGATCATCGTTTGCCTAATTTGTGGGTCATACCCCTAAAGGTCCAATTCATATTTGAAAGTCTGAGAGTTTGACAAGTTTTCTACGCCAACATGATGCCCCGCAGCTGACCCCGGGTCTGGTTTGTAAACTCGGTGACCTGGTATTCAAAGCCACGTCTAAAATCGATGTATGAGAGGATTTTTCTTGCTGACACACTGGAGGTGCCAGGGCTCCTTAGCCGTGTGTTTCGGGATACCCAACGAGCATCCGTCGTACCATCTCATCGACATCATTCCTAAATCCGAGTATCATCGATGATGGATCAGGTCACACGACCATGTGGACCGAGTGATAGCATATCAGTGTTTCTATATTCTCACCGCTCATCACTCAAGACAGCGAACCGGCAATGACGAGTCTGTATAATTACTACGATATTCTTGTTTGCTTGATGAGAAGAGAAGCAGGTACTATCAACGCACGTATGTAGATGACTGATATGCAAGGCAAATGCAACGGATCGATCAGGCCTGAGCCGTAAATCAGACTGTGACTCAATAAACCATAGACGCCAAAAGTCCCTTTGTCTTTTTCGAGCGTAGCTTCCCTGCCCTTTTCCCTTGAGGGATGTGTGACTGGCCCTCGTCATCAGATTCGGATGACGAATCGTCGTCGTCGTCGTCATCATCGTCATCATCCGCCTGCCTTCCCATACCATTAGTCATGGTGCTCGGACGAGGTGCGACCGGAGTACTCTGGGAGAAAAGCGATGCTTGACTCGCAATATCTGTGAGTCTGCGGTATGGTATCGATCTGTGCGTTTTTAGCATTCGTCGTCATCTTCTTCTTGCCTCCGGCCTCCGCCTCGGATTCCGACTCCGAGTCCGGAACTACTTCCATGTGTTTCCGCACTGATGCATTGTACTGCGAATGTGGAAAGGGTACTTGGCTCGCCGGTAACGTGAAAAGTGACCCGTCGGCTTTGCCTGCTGAATCATCATTAGAATGTTCTCCCGCGCTGTTTTGATCAGATGCTTTGCCAGCAAGTTCGCCAAGTATGCCACCCTGTCCAATGGGAGAGCTATCAAGTTCGTCCATCAACATGGACGGCGAAGGTTCACGAAGAACAGACCATTTAGCAAGAGAAGCTGGAGGTTTCGGTAAAGGTTGCGAATGAGATGGTGTTGCGCCATGGCCGTTCGAGTTTGTGCTCCTTTTGGCTGGTTGCGAAGAGATGCGAAGGAGGTCTGCTTGTGTTGCCCCCTTGCCGCCGCGAATCGACGGTTTGTCATTGCCTGTCCGAGTGGCAGCGTTTTTCTTCTTCCCCTCAGCGCCTGCTCTCTGGGATCCATTGACCTTGGATTCATCAGCACGTACAGGAAATTGCGACGGGCTGGGAAGTTGCCCGTGTCGATTCTTCATCCGTTTTGCTAAGCCAGACTTTGGAGTCGAGTGGGCTAATGGAGAAAGTGGTTTTGCAGTTTTCTGATTTGGTGTCGTAACTTCGATGGGATCATTATCAGATGTTATCACTTGCTGGAAATCCATCAGATCGTCGGCTGGTTCAATGGGGTCATCGTTAGTGTTGGGCTTGTCGGCCTTGTTGCGAGAGAGCGTAGTACCGCGGGCGGGTGATGTATCTGATGCTTTGTCTAGGTCTACAACCTCAGGTGCTTTGCCAGCATCTTTGGCCAAGTCCTTGTCGCCATCCTGAGCCTTTGGCACAGAAACACGGGTGGCATCCGTATCAAAAGCGTCTCCTTGCACACCGTCTTTCTTGCTTCCAGCTGGGTCTGTGGCGTTAGATGTCTGATCAGGACCCACAGAAGGTTTTGGCGCGGCAGTCGAAGGCAACGGCTCGGAAATGTTTTGTTTGGGCGGGGGCATCGAGTGCTGCTCGCTCTCGTCGTCTTCATCCCCTTCCTCTTCAGATGAATTTACCCAGCGCTGCGATAATCGACGGTACTTCCGCTCATTCTCGCCATCGTCTTCAACTTCCAGAGGCCCAATATCACCGCCTTCGTCCTCGGTATCTGATTCTTCTTCTTTCGTCTCCAAGGTATCGATCAATTTGCGAAGTTTTGATTGGCCCCGGACCTCGCATGATGGCGTCCAAATCAATGTCTTCGAGCGAAGCCTGACCAGGTTCAGGTTCATGCTCCCTTGTTCTGGTTCCTCTGTTCTGGCTCCTCTCGTTCTGGCTCCTGAGCAATCTCGTCTTCTTCCTCCGAACTGCTTCCTTCGTTGCGGCTCTCCACGGTCACCTCTGAAAGTAGCGAGTGACTTGGCACAAGGGGCGTCCAAGAAGGTTGAGACCCCTTATCTGCTTTTCGTAGCTTCCCCTTCAGACTCGTCGTCAGTCTCCGAAGGCTTCCGTGATGGCTTCGTAGTATCTGCTGCATTGCGTTTTGCGGAAGGCACTGCAGCGCTAGGAGACTTTAACAGCGACTCCAAATCCTTGATAGTGAGTCGATGCTTCTTTGCCCCTACTATCCTCAATTCCTCAATTCTATTATGTATCGCTTCCTGGCCTGCCAACACCGTTGGGCACCGATACAGGGGATGAAAGGAACCAGAGCAAGCATGACAAAGCGGACTAGATGACACACCACTTTTCGTGGTCGTAATTACAGAGGGGCCCAGTGAAGTGGACGGCTGGGAAGCGTTAACCGAATTCACCTCAGTATTGGTATTATTCTGTTTAGCCGTTTCCATCGAGACACGTGCTATGGAATTCACAATGTCCTGAATATTTATTGGATTGGCAGGCCGGACAGCTATTGATCTAGCATTGGTCAGACGGTGACCGCTGTCAGAACGAGTCACGCACCATCTGCATCAAGAGCTTTGGCTTTCGTTGTTTTTCTTTGCTTAGTCTTCTCTGTAGGACATTAGAAAGCGCGGGATCAGTGTATGATACCACGCACTTTCTTTCGGGGCTGGAGCTTCTGAAGCTCCCGCGTTTGCAACTTTCTTGCGGCCGCTCGTCGAAGCTGCAGTAAAATCATTAATGACAGGGAACTCCTGATGACTCTCGAAGACGAACCGGATGTCTCAGGAGCTGGCTCGCTTGGAGCCGCCTCACTTTCACTTTCAACTTCTTTACCCTTCACTTTGCTCTTCTTCTTGTCTGAAGACAGTCAATCAATGTTTGATCAATATATGCAACTCATGCGTACTTTTAGAGGCAGCTGCGCCGTCAACTACACCGTTCGCAGATTTCTCGCCCTCAGCTTTGGGATACGATCTTCAACATCCAGAAAGTATGGGGAAGAAACATGTACCTACCAGACTGAAGAGCCGACAATTGTGTGGTAATCTTCTTCGTCCCCGATGATTTCTTTGGCGGTTCTGAGGGACCAGAAGGAGCCGGAACTACATCGTCATCTAATACTGGTAGGCTCGAGGTCTCCTTGGTCCGTTCGGTCTCCTTCGCCTTCTTGGTCTTCTTTGGTGGCTTCTCTGCAGCATCCTTGGCCACACCAGCCTTCGCAGTTTTTGGTTTCTTCTTCGGCGGTTCTCCATCAGTGGGAACGGGCGCTTTGGTGGTGATCAAGACAGAGGGCTTCGCAGAGGGCTTCAGTGAGGATTCTGCTGGAGCACTGACTGAGGCGGGCTCCTTTCTCCCAAGTCTCTCAATGAATTCTCTAACAAAACTGTTCTCAGATGCGAGCTTGGAAGCTGACGCAGTCTCCGTATGCTTGGTCACTGCAGGCTGCTCTGTCTTCTGTTTCTTAGACTTCGGTTCGCGTGTCACGGTCGAACTGGCATCCTCAGGAGGCCGGTCATTATTGACTTTGCGTTTCTTCTTCGCCACCCCCGTCTCGGAAGTTTTTGACGCTTCCCTCGTGCTGGCGGAAGACATGGCCTCCTGTGCAGGAGGGGTCTGCTGGAACAGGTAAACACGAGCCAACTACACGCGAACCACTGGGCTTACTGAGATTTCCACCGCTACATCAACCAACCTCATTAATCTCGCGCGCGCGGAGAACGCATCGAAATCATCATCTGGAGTAAATCGAGAGTTAGAGAAGAGGTGCCATACCACAGAGCTGGCGCATTTACCATCATCCAAATCAATAACCTTGCTGCCACGCAGCTGCTTTAGCTTGACCGTCGAGTTTGACGGTAGCTGCAGTTTTCGCCGTACAACGTTCTGTATTTCTTCGAGAGATTGTTCTGTACATACTGAGATGAGCACAAAGCCAGATATAGTTAGTTAAGGAGGGGGTACCCTTGAAAAGTCTATCAAAAGACCTGTCTCCGACGAGATAAGTAATGCTCGGTAACTGATCCTCTTCTCGCTTTCGTTTTCCGCTGTCCACTTCCATTGCAACGGGACTAACGAACGACGCGACAGTGCGTGGCTTGGAGGTGTGGGCGTTGATAGGTGTCAAGCTTTTCTGGATGAGCAATCCACAAATAAATACAAACATTACCCTCAACCCGGAACACTCATTATGGCTGGTGGAAGTCATCGTACGTGACACTCAGCTCGTCCTTATTGCTGCGCTCACTATGTATTTGCAGCTTCAGGTTTTAACCCTCATCTTCCTGGGTTCAGATACCAGTTCCTCGCCAAGGCACTTGGAGCCACTATGTGGTTCTTCATTTTATATCGGGCTCGGTAAGGTCCAACACTATTATATCTACAGCCGTATGTTGACTTATTATCAGTGAGGACGGACCCAAGCTTCTTGTATTTATCCTTTTTCTCCTCTGAATACTACTCTGTGTTTCTAATACACTGTTTTACAGGGCCTCCGGCATCCATGGGAGGGCCATGGTCATGGCCACCACGATGAGCACTCAGAGCATCATTGACCATCTCGATAGAAATGTTGTAATCTTTTGGGTATTCACTGATATATCCACATTTTGTGTGCACCATAGGACTGAACCGGACCCACTTGTTCATCATCCTTCGCCGCCAACACTTGATGACTACTAGAAGCGAATTCATCATTCTACTCCGAGATTCATATCTTAAAACCAATCTCTCGTCGATCATCTCGCCCCGTGGTTCATGAGCAAGGAAAACAATCCGCAGCTGTCAACGCTTCATGCTTGCAAGAACATGTACTAACAAAATTCCCTACCAGAACCAATCAAGTGCACAGCGTAAGAATTTGCACATGCATCTTGACTCGTGTGCAAGGACCAGTTCGCGATTTTCTAATTGCGTCTCATTATGGTTGCGGCGTTCGTATTACATCTCAGCAGAGATATCACCAAGATATCCGCCGGTCTCTTTGTCATTACGCCTCCAACACCCCTGTCGGCTGTTCTACGTAGGCTAATTTCTGAGCCGTTGACCTGATTGGCCCCACGTTGGCGAAGTCTCAATTGTGGTGGGATTGCAGCTGAATTACTCACGATCGAGTCGTCAGAAACGGGTATCACCCAGAATATTAATTTGGATTGTTGTAGGTACGCGGAAATGTTCTTTGCGCAGTAACTGCTTATTGACAATGCTTACTTAGTACCTGGAGACATCTATGCCGATGATCATCATTCAAATTGCTTCGAAAGTTGATGCATACTATCTAGTCAAATAATTAAATTTCGGTACTCGAAATCCACGCAAAAACCACCCTTCTACACGGCACCAGTGCTAGTGCTGGCAATTTCTCTCGAACGATCGCGAGTGCCTGGTTTTGCCACAAAGGTTACCGCACGCTCATCAACAACCTTCTTCCCCCCTTGTCATCATCTCAGAGCTCCACCATAGCTCTAACCACAGTCTTAAAAATCCCGCATGTTCTTCTCCCTCTCCATCCGCATCTCCGCCAACATTGCATGTAATACTACCGCCCCGCTCACGCGCTCGGCATCAGTCAGCTTCGCGACCGAGACTTCTCGCTTGGCAGAGGACTTCGATGAGGATGTTGCCGGGCTAAACAGAAAAGGCCATCCGACATTAGAATGTCCGTATGCTTACGAGCATCAACTATAGCTGCGTGTTGATCCGTCTTCCGTTTCTTAATCGTTAGCTCAGGTGCCGCAGTCTCGTTACCGTTTATCAGAGGATGGTTGTTCGTGGCTTTACGTTTATTCCCAGTCACACTCATCTCTGAAGCTTGTAAAGCGTCCACCACACGGGTGGAAGACGCGGCTCCATTTGTCGCAGGAGGTTGCTAGAACGGGTTAACACAAGCCAACTAAATTCAAACCACGGCGCTCAGTGAGATATACACCTTCACATCAACCGACTTCACGATTCTTGCATGCACGCTGAATGCATCGAAATCACCCTCTGGAATGAATCGGCGGTCAAATAAGAAGTCATTTATGTACTCTGAAACAATGCATTTTACCATCATCCAAATCAATGAATGTGTCGGGATAACCGCTGCGCCGCTGCTTCAACGTGATCGTCGAGTTTGACGGCAGCTGCAGTTTTGTTCGTAACATGTTCATAATTTTCTGCGCGAGAGTTTTCTGCAAATAAGTAGTAATTGAGTTGAACGCGATCCTATACCGTGACAGAAGTGGTTTGGGGATGTACCTTTGAAAACTCTTTCGAATTTCCTATCTCCGACGTGATACGTGACGATGACGACCCGTAGGAGGTCTATCAGGTCATAGTGAGACTCTCGTTGTGCATTTCTCATTCACTGCGTGAAGACCCAGGCTAGTGGCGCTTGAAGTACGTGTGTTTATGCAAGATAAGCTCAGGTAGCTAGACATGAAAATAGATTTGTTAGTCAGCGTTGAAGTAGCCTCGCGTACATGTAAGGACATGACATACTTGGGGGCTTGCTTGACGACTTATGTTAATAACAATTAGCATATATCATGTTGTCTACTCGAGATACGATTAGATGACACTAGACTATATACCTATTGCTTCAGCTTCGTTCAAATATCTTCCTAATATAATAAGAGTAGATCACCAAATGTAGGGCTGAAATAATGAATATTTTCTGATGAATACACCACGTGCTCGATATACTATTGTGCCTGCTTCACGTCCCGCTTCAATTCCCCCTGTGCACTCGTATCCCCGTCTGCCCCTGCCATCCTATTATCATCACGGAAATATGCTGAGACGCCCCCCTGCGATAGCACCTGAAGTGTGGGATAGCTGGCCAGACAGCTTGAAGAGAACGATCGCAGAAACCCCAGAAGTGTATATGGCCCCAGCTAACTCGAATATTGATCCAGCACTTCTCAGTAGCTCGAACAGTTCCTCGGCCCCAAGGCATACTCCTCGCGATGCAAATAGAGATGGTCCACATGAGCCGATGCTATTTGCGAACCCATCTGCTGCAAATAACGGTGCACGAAGGCTTACAAATAGCAGGTGAGTGAATATATGCACCAAATATATGCAGTCAAACTCATCAATTTTTCCCTATGAAAGTGATACACGTCTACCTGAGCATCGTCGACACAGGAGAGGTGCTGTGTCCAGCTCTCGACGATCATGGGGAAGGCATCAGCGTTCATCTTCACCCAGTGACAACAATCGTGAGCGGGAGGGAAGGCATAGGGCAAGAAGTCCTGTGCATAATCACCGGAGGAGTTCATCATCTCCATCCACCAGCCGTTCATCATCCCGAAACAACCGTCACTCTCGTCGTGCGTCGTCGCCAGCCACAAGGCACTCGACTCCAGCAAACATGGAAGATCTTGCTGCCATCCTGTGTGAGATGCGTGAAAATCAGGATGAGCACTATAAGCAAACAGATGAACGACTTGCACAGCTTGAAGGGAATGTACCTTCACACCAGACCTCCACTCGTGGCCGCATAGTCCAAAGTCGGGGGGCATCATTGGTTGCTCGGAGGCGCAGGCGAAGAGGTGCTGGTGCTGAGGTTGATGGTGTGGAATCACGGGCAGGTGAATTCGATCATGATGCGGAAGACGTCACGGGGGCTCGTGGTAGCCTCTCTACCGCTGCCCGGGAAGCACGAGGGCACCTAAAGGTAAGCACATTCTCACTCTTCAAATACAAATCAATTCACGTACCATAGCACTTGGTTACCGCCAAGTTCCGCCATGTCTGTGATGTTTCCGACGGGAAAAAATGGCCAAGTCTCGAGGTTGAACGAAAGAATGACATGACAGGCGAGGTGTACCTGACACCAAATTTTGAGGCGACCGTGAACGACGACCATAATCGAGTGATCTTCAAAAAGATCGCGCATCTTGTCTGGGAGGAACTTGGAGTGAGTTGTGAGCCTTTCGACTTCGCAATCCCCTCATCTTTTGAACAGAGTACAACCCTTAGCGATTCCCTGAGCAACCGCAAGGTCAAATGGAATAAGCAATCGTTGTTCACGTTTGCTAAAGACACGTACCGTGGATTCAAGGAGGAGTGGAAAGCGCAGAATGACCGCGAGAAGGCCGCAGCTAAAAACAACAACCAGCAAAAGAATCGCTGGAGTCAGCGTCGTAAAGAGGTTAGTCGTTAATGTCTGCTTTTAAATAAGAAAAAAAAGACTTACGGACTTGAAAAAGAAAGCCGACCGGTTGACAACAGCATGTCCGAAATACCTCGAACTTCATGGCGTGGATCCCATCAACATCATCCACGCGGATCATATGTCAGACGAGGCCTCTGGACCTGAAGATGATGGTGAATCAGTTGACGAGTAGGATGCTCGTGTTCCTGCGGTTCCGGATGAGTGTTGTCCACATCCATGTACGAAAATCTTGAAAACATTGGTGAGCCAAGCACAAATACAAAGAAAAACATATGAAGGAGATGGTGCGCGTGAAAGAACCATGGGTTCTGGTTGAGATGGGGATGGTGGTCGAGACGGAACAGGAACCTCATGCGGAATTGTTGGCTGGGTCAGTCTAGGCACTGAAGACCGAGAACCTGACACTCCAGAATTTGCAGATCGCGGAGCAGAACCCCGAGGTTGAGGAGGAGCACCTCGAGGGGGGGCTGACCCACGCGCTCGAGAGGGAACATGGAGGCCTCCACGGTCACGTTGCAAAGAACTTGAAGCTCCTCGACCTCGTTGCGCTATTGCAGATAAGCTGAGGTTTTGATTGCGACGATGGTTTTCACGTTGATATGCGGGGATGTTCTGGCCGCCTTTGGTGGGAGCTGCGAATTTGCAAACATCGCAGTCGCACCATACGAGACGTCGATTCGACCTCGTCGTGTGGCCAACAGTTTGCTGTGAGCAGGATATTCATTTAGTAAAGTAAATGAGAACGAGAAACAAGCGGACTCACCTGGTCGTCGTTCATGGTGGTGGTAGGAAGATAAGATGAGGATCCGATAAGACTTAGATGAAAAAAATGTCGCGACGTGTATGCACCGTCTAGACGCTAGATACATACCTGAGCTAAATGAGACTTATTTTAACTTACGAGTATCGCACCAATGGGAAAGCGAACGAGGCCGTCTATTAAAAGCTATTAGTGTTTACAAACAATCTGAATGAGACGGCGTAGTTGATGGCATTGAGTATATACGGTTCGAAGATCTGATAGTGCGTAGTAGAGGATGAAGGCAGCTGTCCTAATGGATGTCGATGACTAAGTCATTGTAGTTGTAATTACGGCTTCTACCGTGACCTATTCAACTTGCGAGTAACCTACGGCTCAACGCAGTGATTGCCAGATAGTTGTACTACAATGCCACTGCAATTCGGAGGGTTAGAAGGAGATGCAGACGCAAATGCAAACGCAAAATTTATGTAAAGGTCCCCTCGATCTACACGATGCCGTAAATATCGATTGTCATAGATTTGCTCGGGACCCGTACGGTTGGCAAAATAACAGCCAACTTTCGATGTCGACGACAAAAGGAGCGATACAGAAATAGTCCGACCTGCCTGGCTCGAACAGGCGACCTCAAGATGAATTGTTTATCCATTACAGTCTCGCGCTCTTCCAACTGAGCTAAGGTCGGTTAATAACCTTTACGTTATTTCATCTATACCAAAGTGACAGCAGACACTTGTCCCGGCAAGTCACCCGCCGGTTGATGTAGCTCAAGGTTCCACCAGCACAATACTACTAGGGTCAGATGGGCAAACAGAACAAAGACGATATCCCAAACCTAAGCAGGGTTGGCAATCGTGATATTATCCAACGTCTCAACTTCCTCTACCAAGCCAGTGTTCTCCTCAATGGCATGACAGCTGACCCCTCCTCGCAGGTTCCGTTTAGCACTTGCGAAACCAACGACACGCAAGACCCACCGAAAAAATGGCAAAAGAGGGTTGTGTCTACTGCGGATCTGTCTAGGAGCTACATAGACACGATGAAAGTTGTCGGGCAGAAAACGAATGTCAAGATGTGAGCACTTTCATTTCGCACTTTACATCGTAGAGCTCATAGAAGGCAGTGATCCAACAGTCAAACGCGTTATATGTAAGGGATGCCGTATCGTGTTAATACCTGGCACTTCCTCAACCGTGCGGGTGAAGAGTGCGTATTGAGTATACATCGTTTTTGTATGTGCTCATCAACTCGCCGTGATATCCAGATTCCAAATCGCACGGGCACCTTGTTATCCATACTTGTAACTCTTGCAGAACATCACGGCGAATACCCGCGCCTCCAGTACTGGATGCGAATGAACCTGAATCCAAATCCACCACGATGGACCGACTAGCTCCCGGTGCTGCAACTGGAAGTGCTTCGCGGTCAGCACAGTGTAGACAAAAGAGACCGCGCACGCCCCGTCTGGTACCCCACTTCGCTCGAGACCTAGGTCATGTTATTTTCCGAGGAAACGAGAAGTTACCCGATGCTATTCTGTGAGATCAGACTGTATCATTTTATGACTTGTCTGTTCCCACACCGGTACCCTACCATCGATTACTGAAGTTAGACAATTCGGTGAGTCGAGTCTCACACTATCACATTGCCTATGAAAACATCACTCAGTTCCTCTCAATGATAGGTTCGAAAGTGGAGATCATAGAGCTGGTGGTAGGGAATACCAACGAGAAGTTTGAAGTTCACAGCTCCAGCACTATCGCTAGCCCACGCCCCTCTCAAGCTATATTGATGTGGGGAACGTTCTACAAATCTGTCTCCGTAGAGCTGTAGATAATAATATCATGATGATCATAGTACTCACCCCACGGTCTATGACGGCACGCTCAATTATCGTAACTATGTAGTCGAACTCGCTGGCACTAGACGTAAATAAGTTAGTCTTTATGCAGATAAATCGTTCGGCACTGACCGTAACTGCGGCCTACTGCGGCCTGCTGCGGCCCACGTAAAATTCTACTTTCAGTTGATTGTACTACTCAAGCTTCTCACAAAATTCTCGTCTGTGAACGCACCTGGTAACCAGGTGCCATATATAATAAGGAAGAAACGTCGGGGAACAACTATTTGCTCTCACTGGTGTCAGAGCAGCGAGCCTGCCTGCTAGCTTCAATCCATCACTCGCCATGTCAAGTTATCTACATAACTCGCCGCTAGCACATGTCATGGTTGTGAATGGCCTTCGGGCAGCCTGGATAATCGTCGTCCTTTGGTATGAGGTTTACACGTTCGACCATGTCTTACATGATTGTCAGTGGCCCGATATCTATCAGGTGAAGTAATGCCATATCATGAGTCTCAAGTTAATGCTTATGCGTAAGTTGTAGGCCGACGCACCCAACGCGCGTATTGCACGCGTATTAGTGGTAGCAGATCCTCAAATCGTTGACTACCGCTCGTATCCCATGCGTAACTCTCTGATGAAAGCCTTGGGGCAGTTCATCATCGATCTCAACCTCCGGAGGAGTTGGCACTCAACGATAAATAGAGTGCAACCTCACGCCGTTGTTTTCCTGGGTGACCTCATGGACAACGGACGCGCGACCATGTCGAATAGCGAGTATGTTTTTCATAATCTAACCCTGCATTCAAGCGGCGGAACTTTAGTTTGCGACTGAGGTTACTTGTTTACTCACAAGGTACGATGCATATGCTGCACGATTCTTCGACATCTTCAAGTTAAGGGATTTGTCCATGCCGACATTTTTTCTTCCTGGGAATCATGACCTAGGGTGCGTCATGAATCCTTCATGCTTAGAGCATTCTTGTAAATCTTTGGACCTCCAGACTCGGGGAAGAGGTTTCCTTTTCTCTTGAAGCTAGAACGAGGTACACCTCTAACTTTGGACCATGGAATCACAAGACTACAATTGGAAACCATACTGTTCTGTTCATTGATGCAGTCGCCTTGGTCGAAGAAGATGTTGTCCGCGCAGACCGAGGATATTCGTATGACAACTGGCCTGCAGTAGCAGGAGGATCCGTGGACTTCGTGAAGCGGTTTGCTGCGCATGAGCACGCCAGTCCAGTTGTGCTTTTCACGCACATCCCTCTTGCTCGACCCCTCGATGCAGACTGCGGTCCGCTGCGGGAACGGGGCACTATCCGCCAGGGGCATGGCCTTGGGTACCAGAACACGCTTTCTAATGAAGCATCGCAATTTCTACTTCGCTTACTCGGACCATCCCTTATATTGAGGTTCGTTGTCCCCCTGTTCCTTACGCAAACTCATTACTGAACATAGTTACATTTTCAGTGGTGATGATCACGACTACTGTGAATATTCACACCCCTTGCCCTTTCCATCCGCTTCTGGGTCCACCGCAGCCCGAGAAATTACAGTGAAGTCGTTTTCAATGGCGATGGGGATACGTCGACCGGGATTTCAACTTCTCTCGTTGATTTCAACTGTCCCTGCAATTGAAACCCTGACCCAATTGCCAAATTCACCGCCTTCGCTTCTAGATACACCTTGTTTCCTCCCGGACCAACTCGGTATCTATCTCAATGTCTACCTCCCTTTCATTTTACTTTCGGTGCTTAGCCTCCTCGCGTTTAATATTTACCGAACGCTCCCCGGGGACAAAAAACGGGCACAGCGCCAGCCAGTGCTTTCTCTTCGGCCCAGCCACAGCTCCTGTCGTACAAAGGACGATGAGTTATATCGACGTTCGGCCGGGCAAAGTGACACGGAAGATACCGACGAGGATCCGATGCTGCCTCTTCCTGTGACTAAACCTGCAGGGCCGGTGCACTCACTCCGCGGCAGATCCTCGTCTTCTCCCAATTCATGGGCCTTCTATCTTCTAGGGCAGCGAAGACGCATATTATTGTCCCTGCCGTGTTCAATGACAAACCGCGGAGTGCACGAGGTGGGGCTCCTTCGTGGCTTTTTCAGTGATGTGGTAGACGTGGCGTGGCCTCCTCTTCTGGCGTTTTGCATTGCGGCATGGTGTACGACACACGTCTGAGGTGGGATGATGCTCGTTGCTCGTGGCCGGGTGATACCCTGGCAGAGGATCGTGAAACGTGGTTTACGACCTAGGTGTGAGCTTCAGCAAGTAATTTAACTATCATATTATGCTGTCGGTCTAATTTCGCAGTGCTGATATTCAAAGGCAATTGAAACTTCATTCTAGAAAATGCAAATGATCCCGTAATCTCCGAACTGACAATCGTGGACATCCCTACGAATGACAAGCATGCATGAAAGGGACAGGATGTGGCAATCAGCCCAGACTTCCCGTTTTGATTGACAGAACATGCGCCCCAGTGCGCGCCCTGATGATAGTCGTGTACCTGACAAAGTCCTGCGACCAAAAATATAGGCACTCATAGTGAATGCCTGAACTAGCGCAGGAACGGCGACCTGCGATGGCAGGCTGGTCAACCTAAAAATGGACCATGATTGCCTTGGCTTGCATAAGGGACGGAAACAACAAGGGACGATATGTCACGGCACGAGAAATCTAAGGAGACAAGCTCCCGACAAGGCACCCCGAGTTTGGTCCGTGTCATTGATGAGAATTAAGATGGCATATGCACTGTAAATGAAGGGGCGATGCTTGAGCTTGAGATCTGAGAACTCGGTATTGAGGTCCGCGTTCAAAAGCGTGTGCCCGCGACATTTAATCCGACGAGGGCGCGGTGGAGATGCCCGAAGTGGAACGACAGGATTCGGGTTGGCTTTCGCAAGCCCAGATCCTCTCAACTGATGATGATGCATATACCCTGGCGTTGTGAGAATTGATCTGCAAAGGGGTCAGGACTCAGGAAGTCTGACCTAGTCTAGACTTCACAACTTTATTTGACAGGTGAAACTTTTCCTCATAGCGCTTAGCCTCGGCTGCACGTCGAAATCATTTCCGAGTTGGATGAGCGTTCGTCGTATACACTTGTCTAGCAAAGAGAATCTTGACACATAACCGCACGAATATGGCGAAGTATTGACCTGAAAAAAGTTCGAAGATAAGCGTTCGGATTAGCTCGGGTTGGAAGCCCGTTGGTGTTAACGAACGGGTTTAGCGCTGGCATATGATGCGTGTTGCGCACTGCCTGGATGGATAAGGCATGCACCATACGTACATACCACTGGCGTAAACACCGGAGAAAGTAGAGGAGAGATCTGATGATCCGACAGGTGCCATAACCGTTGGCCCCGATATGTAAAAACAATCTGGAAAGTTGGTTAGATTCGTTATAAAAGCCAGGATCAGGAAAGAGTCGAACGTTGTCCATTCGAACACATCAACTTGGGCGAGTCCATTTTGCGGCGAGAAGCGGGGTCCCTTTATCGATTTTATGCAAGCACGTTCGTCCTCAACTTCATATAACGACCTCTACCGTCCATTGAAATTGCTTGGTCTACAACCGAGATCTTTTATCCCTCATTCAACCTCGCCTCCAACGCCTTCATCGCCGTTAGCCAAATATTCCACTACTAGGGAGTTCAACGAGCGACGGACTAGCCAAAGAAAATCGTTGTGTGAGCTCATACCAGAAGAACTAACCCTTCTCGGATCGGACTTGTCCGTGCCCGGTCTCCACAATCTTGATCTCAGTTCAGAACTCTATAAACGACACCACAGACCAAGGAGCCCCCTCGTACGTTCTCAAACAGAACCTTGTTACTTGTCTACAACCACCACCAGGCCAATACACATCCCAAGTTCAAAGTATGTTTATCTATTTCGCGTCCCATGCACATCTTATGGCATCTCGCTAGAACCATGGCAACTTTGACTCCCCGTGACAATCTCAACGCTCGCGTTAAAGGCAGCAGTCATATCGACTTCAAAACAGCCACCACCGGTGTTGCAGCAAAGTCAATGCGTAACGAGATCAGCCATTTGGTGAGCACCTGCGATGAACATGCCAAGAAGGTGCGCTCCACATACCCTACACGTGTCTGTGATGTTTGATGGGCAGCAGGCATTTGACACCGAAATGCAATCATTCTTCTATCTTTTTACCCGCTATCTTTCAGAACGCGCAAAAAGCGTGGATCTGTGCGTGATTTCCTTTTTTTGCTGAGGATATCATTTTCAAACAATCGCGTCTTATCAGCGATTGGGATCGCATCAAGTCCCCCGCCGATGACCAGATTGTAGCCTATGACAGTCTATCTCAGCCTCATAACCACAATAACCTTAACAAACTTGCCGTGCTCAAAGTCAATGGCGGTCTTGGTACTTCCATGGGTATGTTCCGCGTTGTTGGCTCGACTGCGTCCTTTTGATGGTCAATAGGCATGACTGGTGCGAAGAGCGCGCTGGAAGTCAAGGATGACATGACCTTTCTCGACCTCACTGTGCGTCAGATTGAACACCTCAACACGAGCAACCGGGTCGATGTTCCGCTCATCCTCATGACTTCTTTTAACACCCATGAGGACACCTTGCGTATCATTAAGAAGTACGCAAATCAACAACTCCGCATCACGACATTCAACCAGTCGCGGTACCCCCGGATCTTCAAAGAGAGCTTACTTCCCTGCCCAAAGCGTGCCGACGATGACAAGACGCATTGGTATCCTCCCGGCCATGGTGACTTGTACAATGCGTTGCTGTACTCCGGTGTAATGGACCAGTTGATTGCTGAGGGCAAGGAGTACCTCTTTGTATCTAACTCGGACAACTTGGGCGCAGTGTCAGTACCAAAGAGGTGTCCGCATTGCGCCGTCTTTAACTGATGCTTGGTTCTAGTGTCGATGAGAAGATCCTTCAACACATGATTGACTCTCAAGCAGAATTCTTGATGGAAGTCACTGACAAAACGAAGGCCGACATCAAGGTACGTATCTAGATTAATACAGTTATGGGTCTCTCATTCTCCAGCAGGGTGGTACTCTCATTGACTACGAGGGATCAATGCGCCTTCTTGAGATCGCACAAGTTCCATCAGAGCATGTCGAGGACTTCAAGTCTGGTTGGTTCATGAGCTTGCACCTGTACTTCCACTTCTGACGTGATATCTAGTGCGCAAGTTCAAGATCTTCAACACTAACAACTTGTGGATCAACCTCCCAGGTACCGGCGTTTAGTCATTCATCTTCGCACATTATTAATTCCTTTTCAGCGCTCAAGCGCATCATGGAGACCGAAGGCATGGAACTCGAGATTATCATTAATCCGAAGACGAACGAAGATGGCCAATCAGTCGTCCAGCTTGAGACCGCCGCCGGTGCCGCCATTAAGCATTTCAAGAATGGCCACGGTATCAATGTCCCACGATCGCGCTTCTTGCCGGTCAAATCATGTTCCGACTTGCTTCTGATCAAGAGTGACATCTATTCGCTGCAACACGGACAGCTTGTTCTCAACGAGAGCCGAATGTTCGAGACCACGCCTGTGATCAAACTCGGTGACCACTTCAAGAAGATACAGCAGTTCCAGAAACGCTTCAAGAAGATTCCCAAGATTATCGAGCTCGATCACTTGACTGTTACAGGTGATGTGAATTTCGGTCGAAATGTGACACTTCGCGGTACTGTAATCAGTAAGTCTATGTGGGCTGATCTGATAGGAGTCACTGATAAAACCTCGCAGTCGTTGCCAATGAGGGTCAGCGCATTGATATCCCTGATGGCTGTATTCTTGAGAACAGTATGTCTTTCTGCATTTCATACCTCCTGATCTCACATCTCCGCTCACTCGCAGGGTTACTGTCTGGAAACTTGAACATGATCGTAAGTGATGCACTAGACTTCCTGAGTCGCCGCTGATGGTTCTTTTACTTTGCAGGAGTTGTAATTTAGTCAGAAGAAGCCCTACGACGACGCACGGACAAATACATAGATAGCATATTCCTTTTTATCTTACTGTTTTTCTGTTTGCTCTTTTTCACTCTCGCATGATCTTGTTGTTCATCATGTCTTTGTAGTTTTTCAATTGTGGACAATGAGCTCTCGATGGCTTTGGGTCCATATAGTATTAGCGTTTACCCCGACAACTTGAAATTTTGCAGCAATCTAACTGGTGTTTTCCTCGAAGTACTGATACTATTGGATGTCAACAAAAGTCCAATGTGTTATGAATGGCATTGATAATCATGCATGAATGATGAGCAACCTTACAACGTACAATGTAGCTTATGTGCAATAATGGATCAAAGTTCCTACACAAAAAATAATCAGTAAGCCAGGTTGAAGTGCGGAGACTTGAATGGCCTCACCGTCATATTGAGATTCCCAGAAACTAAACCTGCAAAGTGTCATCAGCCTATACCATCACGAAGCAATTTGACTGCGCTTACGGTTCTCTAGCACGCAACCATCTGGAATGTCAATCCTCTGACCTTCGTTCGCCACCACTATGACATAAATTTTAGCCACATTCAACAAACGCAGAGAAAATAGGGGTGCCTACCTATCACAGTACCACGGAGCGTGACCCCTCGACCAAAATGAACGTCGCCCGTTACCGTAAGATGATCCAAATCGATGATATCAGGGATCTTCTTGAAATCGTGGCTGGAAATCGGTTATCTGACCATGCATTGCGCCCATTAGCAAAACAATGATTCCAGCTCCAAGGATGCTCCAACCTTCTTAAAGTGGTCACCCAGCTTGATGACCGGGACGCTGCCGAACATCCTACTCTCGCTCATATCCAGGCGGCCATTTTGCAATGAGTATATGTCGCTCCTGATGAGCAACAGATCAGAGCAGGATTTCACGGGCAGGAAGCGTGAACGGGGCACGTTGATGCCATGGGCGTTGTTGAAGTGTTTGATAGCTGCGCCTGCGGCGGTCTCGAGCTGCTAGCAGTCAGAAAATGTGTTTCGCGTTCCAAGCGGACAACAAACCTGGACCACTGCTTGACCGTTGTCAGTCATCTTCGGGTTGACGATGATGTCCAGGTCCATGCCACCTCCATTCATGATCCGCTTCAATGCTGGAAAGTAGGCCATCAATACACTTGTTCCACTTGCGGGAATAGATCCCTAATAAATACCTTTGAGATTGATCCATAGGTTATTCGTGTTAAAGATCTTGAACTTGCGGACTTGCGCATGATTAGCTGGACGATAAGTCAAGGAAGACGTATACTACCTGATTTGAAGTCGTCAACGTGGTCTGGAGGTACTTGGGCAATTTCCAGAAGTCTCATGGAAGAATCGTACTCGATGAGAGTGCCGCCCTGTGAATGAAGCATCAACAACCGGTGCAAGGAGCTTTAGATATCGACCAAACCTTAACGTCTGCCCTGGTCTTATCAGTGACCTCCATCAAGAATTCGGCATCGCTATCAATCATATGCTGGAGGATACGTTGATCGACTCTGCAAAAAATGTTGAGCTACTCATTTGACTCGTCATCGATGTGAAAGACTTACACAGCCCCAAGATTGTCGGAGTTCGAGACAAACAAATACTCTTTGCCTTCAGCAAGAAGACGATCAAGCACGCCAGTATGTACCAATGACTCGTACAAATCACCATGACCTGGAGGATACCAGTGTTTCTTGTCGTCTAATGCGTGCTTGGGACAAGGCTGCAATGTTTCCTTCCATATCCTGGGATACCGTGATTGATTGAATGTAGTTATGCTGATGCGTTGGGACACGTATTTTTTAATGATACGTAATGTATCATCATGCGTATTGAAGGATGTCATAAGAATGAGCGGTACGTCGACCTTGTGTGTTGTATTCAAGTGCTCGACCTGTTGCACGATAAGATCCAAGAAAGTCATCCCGTCCTTGACCTCGAGGGCACTTTTCGCACCACTGATGCCTTTAAAAAATACGTCAGCATAGCTGTTGGGGGGATTAAAGGATCATACCCATAGAAGTCCCGAGACCCCCATTGACCTTCAGAACAGCCAACTTAGACAGGGCTTCTGGACCGGTAATCTGTGGAAGGTGACTGTAAGGAATGACCTGCTTGTCGTTGGGCGATTTAATGCGATTCCAGTCACTTATTGTCACTGCATTAATTACACTAAAAGGGGCAAGGAAAATAACGCTGCAGGGCTTACAGTTTCTCTCTGTTCTCCTTTTCTGCGAGATAACGGGCATGCAGCTTGGAGAATGACTGCATTTCTATATCAAATGCCTAGTGAAATGACCATGCATCGGGATACAGGGAGGATTAGAGAGGTAGAACGGGGTTTCACCTTCCTGACTGCAGGATCCGAAGTGCGGACTAGTCGGCTAAGGTCACTTTGAGTGCTTTTCGCCAACGCAGATCGTTCATTAGGTCGAACAGCCTTGCGGCGACGAAATCGTCGGAAGCTGGCTGTCTCAAATAAAGCCATATAAAAAATGGACACAGAACAACGAGAGGGAAAACGGGGACCGTACACATGGAGTAGGAGCCACATAGATATACACGCGAAGATGGACACGCCTGGTCAATGAGGCCTCGAGATAACGACATGCGTCATTCAGCCGTCCTACAAGCCTATGATTGCTTTGGTTTGCAGAGATATGACGGAATGGGCGACGGGAAAAAGGAGGCTCATTGCACATGCCCGTTGATGAACGTTTCATATTGGAGATCCGCAAAATACTTACCCTGTGAACGAGTTGGACATGGGCACGAGGCGTGCGAGCGACGCATGTTAGCCTGGTAGCAAGCTTCAAGGGCAGCGTACGCCCAGCATCTCAATTTGGTTCACGCTTCACGAGAAAATTGGTTCCATGACAAACAATTTAGATGAATGCGGAGGGAAGAAGTACTAGTAGCACCCACCGACTGAAATAAGCGACGCCTACAGTATGGAATGTACGGATCAGTCAACTATGTTACAGCACGCACCCAGCTGATTATGCGACTAGCTGCTAACCGGGCCCGCTGATAGTATGCCCTCCAATTTGATAGAGCACCATTCAGATCTGCAGAAAAGGTGGCAGAGATCACATCACGTTTGCGCTGGAGGCGTGAATCAACACCACGGGAAGCTCGTGTCCAGACATGCATAATCATAATCGCAAATGCATGGTAGACTAGCTAAGTAGCCCATTACTGGTGTAGTTGGTAGCTGGTAGCAGTACAACGCGTGCAAGCTCAAGCTTGGTGCAAGCTAAGCCAAATTCAAGTTCGGCGTTTGCCGATCTGAGTACGAAAACTCAAACCTTGATTTTCAGTACTATCATCAAACCCTCGACTCGACTACACGACTCCCATCCTCAAGGCTATCCGACATGGGTCAGTGATGCTCTTCCGATATACTAACACACAAACGTTCTTGTTCCATTCTGATGATATCAAATTACTATTCATGCAGGTATTTCTCGTTCGTCCCGCCACAAACGTTCGGCAACTGGTGCCCAGCGCGCCTACTATCGCAAGAAGAGAAAATTTGAGCTCGGTCGTCAGCCTGCCAGCACTAAGCTTGGCCCAAAGCGTGTTCACACTGTGCGCGTCCGTGGCGGTAACACCAAGTACCGTGCCCTCCGTCTCGACACTGGTAACTTCGCATGGGCATCTGAGCATGTCACAAGAAAGACTAGGCTTATCAGTGTTGTAAGTACCTTTGATACCGCATGCAGTTTAATGTAATATACTACGTGCATGACTGATACCTAATTTAGGTTTACAATGCATCAAACAACGAGCTCGTCCGCACCAATACCTTGGTGAAGGGCGCTATCATTCAGATCGACGCTACCCCTTTCAGGCAGTGGTATGAGTCCCACGTGCGTACCTACCCGAAGTCTATCCTTTTTGCCCTACTAAATTATGTGATATTAGTACGCCCAACCCATCAGTAAGAAGGGTGCTACTGCAAAGACTGCTGCCACCGCAGAGGAGGAAAAAAAATCTAACCATCTTCAACGTATCATCGCCGAGAGGAAGCAGAGTAAGAATGCCGTCTGGTCTTTCGCGTTGTATAACTCATTCTCCGTCTCAGATGCTAAAATTGACCCCCTTCTCGAGTCTCAGTTCGCTGCTGGCCGTCTCTATGCTTGCATTTCAAGCAGACCTGGGCAGTCCGGTCGTAGTGACGGCTACATTCTGGAGGGCAAGGAGCTGGAGGTTTGTCTTGCGGCTCGAAATAATTCTGTATCGCTTACTCACCTTCACAAATAGTTCTACGTCAGGAAGCTCCGGTCAGGCAAACAGAAGCACGCGCACAACGCATAAATACTATCTTCTTCATGACCCTAGCGATTTACCCGTTGATTTGTCTCTGAGCATACATAAGATCATGAGGACATGGCGAAAATATGTGAAATCCTTAGTGCTATAGTGTATGACAACCATGCCATCCTATCGTATGCTCTGTCCAATCGCAATCCATGCCTTCTTCATACATGTGCTTCTGGAAAGATAACCACGTTCTGACCAAAACATATTGTTCGCGAGCAAAGTGTGGGTTCAAGCTGACATAATCAAATGAGTTTAGTGCCGTAATCATCGCGCCAGCAACAGTGCTTTCACCTTGTTCCTTTTCCCTTCCGTTCGCGTCATTGCTGTCCTCGTCCAGTCTGTGCTTTTTTTCTTTTCGAGTCCCGAACGCGTAAATTTACCGTTCAATGGCGCCAGCGTCCGCGACAGCGACCGTCAATGGCTCTTCCACACGAGCCAGAGGGACAGTTCTCATATGGCGTCCCACCAAAATCATGAACATGGGTGACCTTTCCAAGGATGATGACTTCCTTAGCCATTTACTAGTCGAGAAGCTTGGAACAGGCGCAGTCCCATTGCTCGTTCATAAGATGGATCCATCTCGAAGACTCCCAAAGACCAATGCCGAGGATCTCATGCAAATCGTTAGACGCGTGAGTATACCCTTAGCTCGCTTCGTCTGCACGCAACTAATTATTCCCTGGACGCGCGTATGGTGTCACATATCATCGTGTCGTAGTTGGTTGCAAGTAAGCTCGGTGCTCAGAATGCTGTCCGACAATCCGTGGACGACCTCCTCGCGTTCGTCTAATTTCTTTGCATTGTATATGTTTACCAGACATTCAGGGACGATCATTATTTAGTCTGCCTTCTGTTCGTTACTACCTCAAGCCTTACACGCAGAAGCAGATTAATGCTTTCGCCACGTGTGTGCAATCAGGTTTCGTATCAATGTCCTGCTCCTGAAACTCCATTTTACCACAGCCACGCCTCGCGATACTTTGAGCTCTACAACCCTGCAGGGTGCATAGAAATTGCTCACACGTCTAGATACTCTCACAGGACAGGAAAGTCAGAGTTATGCATCCTCGCTACACGCCCCTTAGCCCCTGGTGTGGTAATCATTGAGCTGAAGGGATCAATGGCACATCTTTCGAAGGAAGAAGACAAGGAACTCAAGCGCACCGACCTGAGAAATATCGACATCAGGAGGGACTTTAGTGTTATCCATTCACGACAAATGAAGAAGAACCATCTATTTTTAGGGCCTGCCCGTTTTGTGAACGTAAGTTTCTGACGGGTCTATGCCTTTTTGCTTGCGTTGGTTATTCAAATTGACGTTGACTTGTGTAGCATGATTGCGACAACAATTGTGAGCTTTTTCGCGAAGGCAAGTACATCACGTTTCGCACTCTCCGAGCTATTTCTGTCGGCGAAGAGATTACTGCGCATTACGGCGATGGTTACTGTGCGTATCCGTTATTCGGTCTGTCTCCATGGCTCACATACGCCACAGTCGGAGGCAAGAATCGACACTGCCTCTGTGAAACTTGCGAGAAGAACGGCAGAGGAGGCTACGCTCCAGACCATTTTGATGGCGATGTGGATTCGGGCGGTGAACAAGATGCCGAAGCGTCAGATGACGATGCTGAGGCGCATGCCGCGACAGTTGCTGATGTCAACGAACGCAGAACGCGACGTGGTGTTTACGCCATCATTCAGGAGGAAGATTCTGATTCTGAGGAGAGCGATGACGAAGATAAGGAGGGTGACAAACCACTTGCGAACGTTCCTGATGCTTCTGGGGATGATGAAGTGGATATGGAGTTAGGCGGGGAAGCTTCCCACTTGGTAGCAGTTTCCTCGTCCTCTCGTCATTTTCCGGTCATAGATGCGATAGTGGCCACGCCTGATCCGGACGTACAGCCATCACGTATGACATCGCTGAGCGCCGAAGGATCAGCGTCTTCCAATAAGGGGAAAGCGCAGGCAAAGTCCGTCATTTTCACTCGCCGACAGACACAGGAATCGTCCAGCAAACATTCTACTCCTGCTCCCCATGATACTTTGCACAACCTCTCGTCCCGCCTTAGAGGTCAAAATCTTCGGGATAGCGTGTCTGTCACGCCTAGTAGGAGCAAAGGAAAGGAGGCGGACAAGACTCAAGTCAAGGAAGAGTCTGAAGCAAGAGTTCTCCGAGCGCGCCCTTCCGTAGCCGGGGAAAAATCAGATCTAGTTGGGCCCCCGAAGCGCGAGATTCCTCGTGGTTCAGATGGACGTCCGCTGCCGATGTGCGTGACGTGCTCGAATGTCTTGCCTGTGATTTCCGTGGATTCCAAAGTGGTGTGGGGTCTGAATCTAGACTCCCCGCGGAAAGGCAAGAAGTCCAAACAAAGACAAGAGTGTCCAAGGTGATCCCGCTGATGTCCGATGGTTTATTTGTGCTGATGGACTTCTTTTCATCAGATGTATGCGTCACGTCGCCATATATGGTCAGCCATGGCCGGCTCGCCTTCCAAGCCAAGCCATTGTTGCTCCACCTCGCGATGACGTCGAAGCCAGCTCCTCGCGGCGCCCCCCTCAGAAGACTACCCCTGCCGTGGAACGCAAGCATGTGCCCCCCCGTCGATGAGCGTCCTCTAAAGAAGCGCAAAGCTAATGATGGACCCAGCAGAGAGATGTCCGCCAAAGTGAAGGAGCTTTTCGGGCCACTGAAGAGAAAAAGGGGACGACCACGCAAGTACCCTCTTCTCGAAGAAGAGCTACCGAAACGGAAAAGAGGTCGACCCCGTAAATATCCTGTTTCTGAGGTGCCTCTCCGATCTCAGCCTTCCTCACCTCCTAAGCCTCCATTGACTCCGCCTGCACCTGTGATCAAGCTTTCCGCTCCCCCATCCCCAAGCGTCAAAAATAGCGATCATTCCCCCTCTTCATCACGCAGTCACACCAGGCCAAAGGCTTTGGCGGTGCAATCACAACCTCGGGACTCCAACGGCCGTTTTGGCAAGAAAGCCACGACGAACGGAAGATTTGTCCGAAAGAAGTTTGGTCATTTTCAGAACCTGACACGCACAGAGAGGCTTTTCCGCAGAAATATTAAGGTCACGCAGTGGCTCGCTGGCAGGCATGAAGAAGATGAGATGGACGACGAAGAAGCAGACTCACAGGACTGGGATCAAGCGAATGATCCAGAGATCCTTCCTACTGGCAAGCGAGCGGCATCATTCCCACCTGAAGGCTCAGCACCGCTAACGAAGAAGCCCCGACATTGCCCCAGTCCATTCGAAAGAAATGATGAAGCATTAGAATACTGCCCCTCTGTACCATCCGGGCCCTCGGCTTATAAGTTCAAAGGGGTGGGTAGTAGTCTTCTGTATCATCCCAATCCGACAAATTACGCTCGGCGGAAGTGGGCACCGTGCCCCGATGATGTGTCCCAGGATGAAGAAGATAGTGGCCCCTCTCTTCCAACGCTGGAAAGTGATAGCATTGGTCCCGTCACACCTGATGATCAGACGCCATTACCCATAGCTGGTCCGTCGCAGCTTGAGCATACAGTCGCGGAAAAACTGGCCCGGCGAGCTAGTTGGCGAGGGCCTGTACACAATAGCGTTCTGACCTTCCGACCATCTCCAGTCAATTTTGCCAGACGTCGTTGGTCTTCGATGTCCAAATCCCCCCTTGACTCTGGTCCAGGAACTCGCCGCAGCGAGCGGCTGAACCCAAAGGCTTCCTTCTGTGGTGAAGACGGTTCTACGAAAGTTTCTAGCGCAGATGGACTGCATGCAACCCCCACTGTTGGTTCACGATCAAGCGTTCGCGTTTCGTCCATGTCGGAGAATATGTATATAGAAGGTGGTGCAATTCCTCGTGCCGGGTCCTATGCATCATCATTTGACGACGTACGTACATCTACTTCTTATACTTAGAATTGCACATGAATAATTTACAGCTGAGCGAGCAGTTTCCGATCTCAGATGTGCACCGCCGCACTTCTTTTCCGGATGACGGTACACTTGACTCGGCCAATTCTGACGACGATCGAGTTGTCGAAGGGCTTCTTTCTGAAAGCAAGGAGGCTCATACTGGCGTTGTAAATGAGGAGCAATTCTCTCATCTCCGTGTCACATATACGGCTAAACTTCCTGCCCCAGTACCCTGGAAGAACGCTCGTGGAACACCCATGTCTCATTATTTGCGCAAATCCGCTTCATTTCATGCCGACGACGAACCATCCTCTCCCACTCGTTTTATTGATGCAGGTTGGGAGTCTGACTGCTCTCACTCTACAGCTTCACTAATTGCCAGGGCGGAGTCTGAGTTATGTGGACACGGTTAAACTTAATATTAAACTAAATTATGTGGTCCCGTCCACCTTCGAAATCGGTTAGCTCGTTGCTTTTGTTTCAACTACGATAGCATTTTTGTAATACGCCCCACACATACATACACATTCTTTATCACCACGTATCGAGTGCGTATTCTAACGGTACAGTGAGGCACGTTGTACCCACAATTCATAGCACCTCTTCACGACTGCCCATCTGGCTTCAATGAACTCCGGCCAGCCCGCAAGATTTCGTCTGTGGAAAGGAGGTTCACTGCGATCACAGAACTAAGATTTGGGTCTCAGCAATCATTCTTCTGATGGAAAAGGATATCCACTTACCATGAATGTAACATCTGCCTCTTTACCCTGTAGTTATCCCAGATGCCTTCCACAGTCGGATCAAACGGCTCCCCTGATTGCAAATCGATACCAACCGTGTTTCCCTCCGCTTGTTCGTCCTATTTCGATCAACGTAAGCAAATCAAATACAAGCGGAATGATATCGCGAACCTGTAGCGCTACCACCACATCCTGGACGTCGAAGCCTCCGTTTTGTGCAAGAGTCTTTGGAATGATCAATAGTGCATCTGCATACGCTTGCACGCCCATTTTAACGCGGCCCTTGGCAGTTTTCTTTACAGGACCACCCAAATGACCTGCGCATGCAACCTCAAAGGCTCCCGCACCGGGAATGAGAACCTCGTCCTCGAGTGCATTTTTGACGGCGCGAAGACCGTCCCGTAAAGCATCCTGGATTTGTTGGATCGTGTGCGCATTTGGACCCTTGATAAGGAGCGTGACGCTCTTAGGTTGCTTAACCTCTTCCACGAAGGTGTACTTCTCTTCGCCTAGAGTGTGCTCATAAACTAGACCCGCCCAACCGAGGATATCTGGGGTTAGATCGTCTACGGAATTTTGCGCAACACCTCCGCAAATGAGCTGCAGGCTAAGATACGACCGCAATCAGAGTAATATCTTTACGTAGCGCTGAAGACATTACCGTTCCATATTGCGTCGCTTAGCACGACGTAAAGCGAAAATGCCATTCTTTGCAAGGATATCGAGACTAAGTGGATCAATGCCTTTTTGATTGATAACGACAAAGTTTTTTGGCTTTTCGCTGCCGCCAACAGCCTGATCGCATGCGAGATTCTTGAGTTCTACGATCTTCCTCACTTTGGCGTCTACGAAACGCCGTTCAGATTCGATGAGCTTTTCACGTTGCTCGGCAGACGAATAGAAGAAGCCAGAATTAACCTCTCTAAGCTTTTGTGAGTTTAGAGTTGGGAATGCGGTGCTGAAGGACGTACGTTTTTTCGTACTCTAAGCTGACGTTCAACGTCAGAATGAATGCATTCTCGACGCGTTTGGGCATGTCCGGATGCCTGGCACCGTGATCCATGACCAGGCCACGCACGAGCTGAGTTTCTGACGCTGTGCGGTGTTGCATCTTCATAATTTCTACCATGTGCAGATCTATTGGGTCGCGATACTGATCTTTTGCTTCTGTAGGAACTTTTAGCATGAAGACCCTTTTGTTTACATGAAAGGCGTGCCTTTGGGGGGTGCTGGTGGCCTGATGGTGAGCACAGCATCTACCACATCTGCAGCGAGTTGCTTCGCTAACGAGGCGTGCAGCTTAGTGGCAAGCGAAGTGTGTGCGACGTTGATCAGAGTTGGCCTATCCAATTTGGATGGCAGTTTGAACGTGTCAAGGAACTAGGCGCGTCCATCAGAAGCGTAAATACATGCAAATGCGGAAACCAACCACTAAAGCCTCTTTCTTCGCGAGATCGAATCCTTCTCCTATGACGGTTGGGTGTACGCCTTCAGATATGTAACGATCGGCTTGCTTAAGTAACTCTCCAACCAGTAGAACTACCGAAGTAGTTCCGTCACCAACTTGATCATCTTGAGCGACCGCGGTTCGAGCGATCATAGCGGCTGTCGGGTTTTGTATTTGCATCTCGGATAGTAACACTTTACCATCCTTGGTCATTTTGATCTGACCAGAGCCGTCCACAAGCATTTTAGAGTACCTCTTGGACCTGAAGTGGAGTCCGATCGGAACAAGGCGGTCGCTCAAGAAGTGATGCTGATGCTTACCGAGATTACCCTTCACTACGTTAGCAAGACCCATCGCGCCGGTGGTGTTGACCTAGCAAAGTGATGCACGAAATTGGAACAGCAAAAAGCCAGGACATGCGACTTACCTGCAAGGCAGCAGCGCGTCTGACGCTCTCTGCCTTTGGATTGATCAATTCTATTGAGGAGGACATGATAGAAGGAGCAATGAAAGGAAATACGCGGGTCCGGTAAAGTCGAGCAGATTTGGAAGTTGGTAAACGAGCTCGGATGGCGGAGTACCAAACCTATCTTTGCGTTGAAATTCGTTCAATGAACCGCACAACTCATTTCACTCAAGCCTGCGCTCATTGTTTTTGCACTACGCAGGCCTGGCATAAGGCAGTCGCGTTTTTATCAGTAAAACGTGGCTAAGTCTCAATACTGATCATGATGCTCCACCAGACGAACTGATATATATCCTCAGCTGAAAATGCATTTTTCTCAGAAAACCAAAACCTTCAGCCAGCTGCAGGTCTTACAGCTGAGCTTCTTGCTCGCAGAGTATCTCTTCTCTATTCGATAGGACATGCAGCGCACTCAAAAGGCTTCGTCGTCTTCGGACTCATCACCTTCACCGACTCCTCCGGGAAGTCATGCTCTTCAGCCGACCGCGATTCGTTCAGAACCAGTACGTCTCATTGACGTACATCGTCTCCTTCGATGAAGGCTAACGTCTAAAATCAGAAGGCGGAGCTAAGACCGTTGTTCACGCAGAAACCCCTGTCTTTTTCAGATCGGCAGAAGAAGCCTTCTCCACCTCCGCGGAAGCGCAGGAGGCAAGCAGTGCCGGAAACCCCTGCTTTGACTTTCAATCCTTCTCAGAGAATGATACCGACAGGGCGACAGGAGCCTCCACAAACACCAGTGTCGCAGACTACGCCTATTTCATCTACCAACGAATGCCCCCCTGGTTGGGTGTCTGATGAAGTCGATGACCAACCGCCCCCTGATACATCCGTGTATTCTAACCCCACCGCCTTCAAACGCCCTCGCACCTCGAGTGGTAGCAACGACTCACCGCAGTTCCCTAGTTATCCTACCACATACTACAACTTCAGGACTCCGGATACAGCGGATCATCAAGATTCTCCGTTGTCTGGAGGAAGTTCTTCTCCGACTAATTCCTTCGGCTCATCTCCAGTACATCACCCTTATGGACCAGAGATTGAATATCA